CCTAACCCTAACCCTAACCCTAACCCTAACCCTAACCCTAACCCTAACCCTAACCCTAACCCTAACCCTAACCCTAACCCTAACCCTAACCCTAACCCTAACCCTAACCCTAACCCTAACCCTGGCGCAGGGCTAGTCCCCGTCTATAACTATCACAGATGTGATCTCATGTCTAGCGCTCGCAGTCCCCAGATTCCACTCTGACCTACTAGCTCGAAAGGTCTGGTTCATGACAATGTTAGAATGACCTAAAAAGAATACTTAAGTTAAACGGATTACTTACACTGCGTTGCCACAGGGTGACTTGGAGGGATGAAGGGATCTAAGCAAACGCACATTCGGGCCAAGGGCCCGTCCATGCTTAATTCATCATTAAAGAGTCACTACTCCTCACATTGCTTAGTGCCGTGGTATGGTTCAGAGTGCAGGCGTGTATACTTTCACACATAGCGCGAAGTCAAAAACTGAAGAGCGAGACTGGAAGTGCTACAGTGGAGCTCGATCGCGGTCGTCTGGCTAGTGCCGTGAAAGCAGTCATACTTACTGATTTCTGGTTCAATGCAAAGGGGACTGATGCGACATCGGGGTCGTACTTGGCAACGCACCACTTGACCTCACCCAAGAGACCCTCTAGCACAGTCCCCCCTACCATACTTGGCGAGGCGAGAGAAATTCACAGAAATCAGTGTCGTGTAGCATCAAATTCCGTGAAGTGATTGGCATCTTTCGCAGTCCGAAACACGTTGGCTTCTTCGGTAGCCAGAGACCTGGTGTCGACGCGAACCAACTTGGGTTTCCGCGTCCTGGCAATTGTAGTAAATATTTGACAGAATTAGCACGACGACGACAATAAACAATTGCGGTAATCCTGAGCGGAGATCCTTTGGATCTCATCTAAGAGACCTCCAGGTATCTTTCTGGTTGCCATACTTGGCAAGGGAAGAGATGGCCGAGTGACGCTGAGGCGATTTTGAGGTGTCAATAGTGGCCGCAGCTTGTTTCGACTAATATTGTATGCTAGCCGCGAACAATGGCTATTCTGCTGCTCTGCACTTGGAGACATATATAGGTATGGGGAGAGCCGATAAAAGACATGGGTTGAGGAGGTGTCACGACCTCGGTTGTCTCCATCTCTCCACTCAGAGTCTCGACTTAGCAGTCTGAGTCTGGGAAGGCTTACGATAGCGAGGTCCCGGGGCGATAGATCCGATCTTCTTCCTTTGTGTACTAAGGTATGAGATGGCGGAAGACCTGAAACTCGGGAAGGTGGACAGCGGTAGTAAGAGTTCATCATTTGATGATGTCGAGCATCAGGGACTTGACGTGGCTAAATGACCGCAGCCGACTTTAACTGATGATATGACACAGCCGAGAGCAGTAGCTAACACGCTGCTCGATACTTAGCGAGGGTCGAGTGGGATGACTGTGGAAGCAATTGAGCCCCTCGGCGTATATAAAGCTCATCTTGTCGGCGAAACCGGGTTTAGTCGCGTGGATGGTTATGAGTCCCTATCGTCGCCGACGAGAGTGCTTCTAGGTGGGATGTGAGACTGCACAGAGACCTTGGGCTCCCTTGTTGGCTCGTCACCCACGGGGCCTCGAAGCAGTAATATTTCCGCTGATAGTGATGTAAAGCATCGCGGAACAACCTGGGCTTGGATGGCGAGAACATGATATCCGACAGTCTCCATCGCCGTCAAGTCGGTTGCGGACCCCCAGACATTTGGAAAGGTCGAGATAGGAAAGGAGCGGTAGTCCGCTCTTGTTAGCCCAGGTAGTTCCAGCACATCGCACGGCAATGGCATGGTTGTAGAACGGGCTGATTGCGATAAATCCGTTTTTACCGTTATATTTGTAGGTTTTTGCAGCTTATGATGTCTAGTATTATCATAAAATGGCCCAGGCTCGGGGTACTGACTTATAGAAAGGCAGCGGTATTATTGTTATAGATATCGTGATACTCATGGCGGGTGCATCGCTGTCTGGGTGAAGGGGAATAGAATTGTGACAGGACCTGCGGTTGATAAGTATCAGCAAAGATGTCTCCAAACCTGGTATCTGGTTCTGCATGCTTCTGTTTAGCTACAATTGTTGAAGAAAATAGAGGCTATGCATACCTCCTGTTCATTTGACATCCATGACATGGTATAATTTGAACAAGGTGAAGGCACGGATAGATATAAGGTGGATGATGAGGTAACGAAGTTGAGGCTTGAATTAAAGAGGCATTGAATGAGGGATATAGTGGGCTTCCCAGGGCCGAAGCCACTGAGTGATTTAATGGCATGCGCTGGCATAGACTGACTGACTGAATGTTCATAAGCCAGACCTCATCAATCAGTTCGCCCCCGCCTCAGGATGGGTGTGTTTGTGCAGAAGACTTGCCACAAGTCTGCTTCAGAGAGTTTGGTATGAATGATGTTGAGAACTAAGAAGAGCGGTAATAATGGATGAAAATGAGCTACTGCCGATACCTATGAAGACTAAAGATGGAATAGGCCTGAAGGTGGACAGACTTGTTGATGGCCTCAGCCATGATCTCAGGAGCGCACAGGACATATTACTGAGTGAGTAGCCTGAAGTGATTGAGAATGAACAGAAGTATGAGAGGTAGAAGATGAGAATACAAGACTGGCCATGCGGTGTGAGATGGACATGCAGAGGTTTCGGGCAGGAAGTTTAGTTCTTCAATATATCAAATGTCAGTAGTCGTCGGACTGATGGATGAAGAATGCGCGACATTTCAAATCCCAAATTTACCACAAATTGTGCTCAAGACGTATCGAGGGATCCAACATGGGCATTGGTTGCGGCACCATTGCCGGTTCTCCCAGGGCTCTGGCCGTGGCTAAACCCTCACTGAGGTCTCGGCTCAACCCCGAAATCAACACCGCCGTTTGCCCAGCGACGTTTGAGCCCACGCCGTGCAATACATTTGGCCGCCTGACGCGCGTGAAATCGACTGACCGCTTCTGTATTCCGCAAAGATTCCGATGTTGAGACACTGTGACCAGATATAACGTGTGGTTTCCCGCTTTCTAGAGCATCGGCATCTCATGATGCTAGCACCCGGCCATGTGCAGCGCTGCCAGTGCTTCCTGCTAGGCACCAGTTATACAAGCGGCGGGCAGCAGAATCTATTGGGCCTGAATACATAGATACTCTGAAGCATTAGTGGAAAAACAGCCCTTCAACCAGGTGGGAGGGGGGATCTCATGGGGCCACGTGCTTGGGCGGAAAGAACACCTTACAGGCCTGCAGAGCTTCCCAATGTCTCGCCTTTCCCTCGTCGATGGAGGGGCAGTGACCAATGGAAAGTCATAGATTCTCATGTGTCAATTTTCAGCTTCTTTGTACAATTCTTTCTATGTCATTCAAATTGGAGATAAACGTATGCATTGAGCGCCGATCAGGGTCCAGGAGCGACGGCATCTCACAAATCACAAGTTATAAGCCGTCAAGTTGTAGCCAGCAGCCGGTAGGGAGGGTCTCTCAAAGACCCTCTTCCTCGGAATTACTGCATATTAACCCTGAGTACAAGTTACCTTAAAAATCATGGGAGATATCACCTTTGCAAGCTGATGTCTCAGAAACACTCACTGGGTCAGATACGGGACAAGCAGGTCTTGAGCCGCAATTCTTTGCATGATTCCCTGATGAAAAGCTAGCACATGTATGCCCGAAGGAATTTTATTAAGAAAAGGAAGCAATATTTCCATGTCATAAGGCTGTCGAAATCCGGTTGCTGATCACATATAATCGGAAGTTGAAGTCGCATAGCTTAACAAAAGAGGTTAGGTTAGCAAAGGTCAAAATGTGGAGCAAGAAAAAACGAATGGCAGAAGGGCAGATATGGAAATCCACGACAGGACAGGATTCAGACAGACGGCATGCCAAGATAGGAGAATTAAGAAATCGGATGTACACAGCCGCCAGAAATAATAGGTGAAAGCTTAAACATAAAAAGATCTAAGAAATCCGGAGAGAGAGGCCGCGCTATGGTAGACGAATTAGGGAGGGATAAAGAGACATGAAAAGCAAGAACACAGCACTGAGAAAACCAAATAAAACACTAACGATAAGTCGTAATTATCAGCCCTTTTCTCAGCAAAAGAAGAAGAAACAAAAAGAAAAAGCTCGGAACAACAAAAATAAGAGAGAAACGAGACCTAGAAACAAAACAAAACAACGGGTATTAGGGCAGGGGGCCAAACAAAAAACAAAAACAAAAACCGAAATAAATGAGGTACGGAACCGTAAAAGACTAAACCGAACAGACGTTGACGCCAGCGCGTCCTCGTCAAGGATTTCCTCAACATAGAGGCCGACCGTATTAGCAGCCTGAACCAGGGTGTCGACTCTCGAGCGCCAGATCATTGACCCCTGGGGGGGCTGGCATTGCCTTGATGTGGCGGATGATGTCAGCCTACTCCCCTGCCTCTGAGAGCACGCCAGTAGGCGAGGCGCGCACAGCTGCGACGGGCGACAGGTTTTCGGGCGCAGGCGAGACTAAGGGCGCGGACGCAATCGTGAGGGACGCAGTTGCTGGCGTAGCAAATATGGGCTCGGGAAGCGGGGGCGCGGAGGGGGCCGCAAGAGTTGCCGGGGGCGATGGGGTTCTGGGGGGAGCATGAGCGTGGGGAAGAGGAGTGTCGGCCAGGGAGTTGTCGTCCGGGTCGGGGAAGTCGATGCCGGACAAGTCGATCTCAGGGAGAGTGGAGGTGGCTCGCCGACCAAGCTCGGGGTCCGCAGGGCCATCGGACTGCTGGTCCTGGTCCTGGTCCTGGTTTTGCTGTTGTTGCTGTTGTTCCTCCTCTTCCCCTTGTTGCTGCTCCGTCTGTTGCTGTTGCTGCTGATGAGGCGGGGGCGGGGTGTTCCAGATGAAACCGATCTGGGGCTTCCAGCCGGGGGTTATGGGCCAGGGCTGGGGCTGTAGCTGGGAGGAACTGGGAGGAGCTTAATCGGCGTCCTTATCGTCGTCAGTAAAACGACGGCGCTTGAGTGCGGGTGCAGAGGCGGATGTGAGAGGCGAGGCGCGGCGCTTGTCACCGGAAGCCTCAGGGAGGGGAGGGGACTGATAGGGAAAAGGAGAGTCCTCAATTCGGCCTCGGGGAGGAAGAGCAGGGCCCGAAGTATCGGGATAGAGAGCCAGCACATCAGGGTCAGGCGCAACGGGTGTGGGAGTCTGGGGCTGGGGTTGGGGCGTGGCGGAGAGGTTGCGGGCTTGGAGCACTAGAATAGACTTCATGTCAGCAACAAGGCAGGGGATGAAGGAGAGTATATTTCCAAGGAAGCAACGTACTGTGGAAGACCTTGGCGACATCGGGGATGGTGACGGTTGGCGGTTCGACCGGGTCGTCATGCCGGAGCAGCATTTGCCCAGAACCTGGGGCTGGAGCTCTTTTCGGAGGAATCCCCCCCCCCCTTCGCGGGTCCTCTTCTCCCTGCTGCTTCTGGTCTTGGGACCGGGAGATGTTCGCGTGTCAAGGTCAAACGTCAGTCATCACGATATCAGGAAGGGGGAACAGCTGCCATGAAGGGGCGCATTTAGGGTGCGATACGTACTTGACAGATTTTCGCAGGTGCCACTCGTTGATAGCATGATCGAGGCGGTGCGCGTGATGGAATCAAGACATGCGAGGATAGTGGCAAGTGAGCTCAGGTCGAACCGTCTGATAGAAGTTGGAGAGGGGTAAAAGTATATGCTACAGATGTGGCAGCCCGATTGCGCAGCGCAGGAACGCTGCAAAGAGACCGAAGAACCGGACATGGAAGGATCGAGGTAGTTGAGGAATCAGCTCCGATCAGATGCTGAGTCATAGGCGGCCCCGAATTGAGCAGCCCGAAATAACGGGAGCCCGGACACGACGGGTACCCACCCGGGAGATCCACGCGAGGTACGGAGTATCGAGGCAGGTACATACACTGCCTTGGGGCTCCCTACACTTTGCGTTATACGCATAATCCTATTGCATCATACAACATGGTCATACATCTATCTACTTACACGGTAGTACCCGCAAAGTACCTCACTTCCTATTTGCCTAAGCTGTCTCCGCCCCTTCCCTTCGTGGCTCCATGGTTTCACCATTATCTACCTCAGACTTTCCCGTTCCTCCAGTCATGGCCCAGCCAGTTCCAACTTTTTTTTTGCGGGCACTCTCTACTCGGCCATGGTAGGGCGAGCATCTCAGTCTCTAAGTGTCTAGGTGCCTCCAGCTATACAAGTTTTTCGGATCTGAATTTCCTCTGAGCCTGAGCTCCAGCATCGATAATGATATTCCCACACCTGAAATGTCTCTGACCTCCGAACTTTTAGCAGCAACTTTTGTTTGGACCTGCGCTTCCGCAAAAACCGTGGTTTCCTCCTCTCCTTCAACACCGTTCATGATCGATTGCCTGCGGTCTAAGTGACCCTTGCGTAAGCTGAACCAGACCTGCCACCAACAACCTCGATGCTCGACATTAGCTCGAGTAAGATTCGTCAACAAATTGGCTGTCGCCTTAATTGAATACGTCGACTACCTCTCTCTTCTCGACGCTCCATGAATACTGCGACGCTGCCCGATCAATTGCTCCGGCGCCTTGAGAAGACAGCGTGTCTTCCTCAACATCGCCGGTTCGCGGCCGTACACGAGACGCCTTTGCCCCATCAGTATGGATTCAGGTTTGCATTCTCCCCGTTTCCGTCTTTAAACTTCGCAGCCATCCTCAATCCTCGCCCGTTCTCTCTGAAGCCTCTGAAGCTAATCATCAGACTTACAGGTCAGTCCCAAACCTCCGACTTAGAGGCTGCCATTTCCCTTCCGTCGACATCCGAAAACCAAGCCGTCGCGCAAGCCCCTGCGCCGGCTTTACCTAACCTGCCATCACCGATGACGACTACTCTCCCCAGACTTACACGCATTGCTCCGAGCCGCGACCAATGCAAATGACAACACCATGCTCGCCATTTGGGTTCAGTTCTGCCGCACCATGACCTACCTCAGCCCCTCAAGTGATCCCTTCCGCAGCAATGACAAGTACGACGAGGTTCTAGGAAGCGGCCTCGCCACCGCTGGCTGAGCAGCCGAGACCGTTGTACCTTGTACCCATCATCGACCGTCCTCAAGACGCCATCTTTGATACCTTGAAGAATAAGCGAGAGAATGGCATGAAGTGAAGCCTTTACACTTTCACGACAGAGGTTTATGCCAGGCGGGAGGGGCGGGATACATGGGATGTCAAGAATGTAATACACCGGTCGTACAAAGAGGCAAAGAGGAGAAACGTCCAGCCGAATACGTTTCGGGCCACTGTTTCCACGCAGAGGCGATTAATAAAGGGTACCAGAACAAGCCACCAGAGCAAGGTTCCACATAGATAAGGGGTAATCTGCATCTATTCATACAAGTCGGTCATCAGTTGGCATGTCTGCAGACTGCTTGAGCCTCTTAATCTTCTGAATCAATGACACGTCAATTTTGAACGCCATAGAACATGCCTGTTCATTGTGTACATCCCCCCACAAATACTCGTCATCCATGTTCTGCGGTCTGCACACTTCGAGCCAAAATTTGTCATGGGTGTTTTCCTGATGGATTGAAGTCGCGTAACATCTTTCAAAGCAGAAAAGTCCACAAACGCCGAGTTTCTCAGCGTACTCCAAGACTCCAGGACACCCGACACTCGGAACAGTAGCTTCTCAACTTGATGCAGACTTGAATAGAATTGCATTTGCTGTACGAGTGTACTCTAGGACTCTCTACCCTTGTCGTGGTCGCTATTGCGGTCGCGAAAGTGCAGCTTGCGACCCCTATGGTTTAGTCTGGTATGACAGTACCGCGGGGGTCTCTTTGCTATATTCGTACCTGCATGTACCGTTGGGGCGGAATAAGAACAAGTCACCAACCCTTTGGTGACCTTGCACAATAGTCACTAAAAAAGTGGTGACTTTGCATTAAAGACACCAAAATTGTGGCGACTTTGCGGAAAAGGGGCTAGAATTTTCGCGACTTCACGTAGGATGAATGTGCACCTGACGTTACCTGAGGCCTTCAAAAGATTCGAACATTATCGAGTCTACTTGGCCCCGCTCGCATGACTTAGAGGACCTCACTCACCAAGGTAGTTGCACGGGCTGCATTCAGGGCTCATCGCAGCGCCTGCCCAGGGATTTGAGAGCGTGCATCCAGAGGGAAATCCTCTTACCTTATTAACCGAGGTTACCCCAGGCTAGAGCAGAAATTGAGACACGGGCGCTCTGATCATAGGATCAGCAATCATATTTCCTGAGGCTGACACTGAAACGCTGCACGTCAAGATATGCATCATCCAGAGTTCGAAAGGATGCCACGTGGATGCAGCGTGAGGGTTGTGGGAATGGAGGGGCGGACCGGGCCGTGCCGATGCGATGGGCGCAAGCCTGTGGGCCTTCGAGTCATTCAAGCATCACGGGTGGACCTGTCCCACCAGAACGTTGTATCTTGCATTCGCGCAGCGGGTGAAATCCCATAAGGCTCATGACATCTAACTATACCCAGGTGCTTGTACACCTCGCTGTGTTCAAGTCCCTGTGCAGAAAACCAGAATGAAGAACAAGAAAAGCTCACACTCCGTCTTCCAATCCTCGCAACACCGCAAAGCTTGCTTCCAAGGCCCGAATCGTCTCCTGTTTCTTTTCTTCCTTGACTAATCCACTCAGCTTGTCATTTGCATCCGATAACTGACTTGTAGTGTCGGCATGATGTGCGCGTGCCTTCTTCACCATCTGCTTGGCTTCCGAAAGAGACGGCAGAGGTGAGTCCTTCCCACTGGACCCAAGACCGAGACCAATACCGGTGGTGTTGGTCTCCTCCAGGAACCTGGACCAGGCAGCTTCATGGTGTGTCTGCGGCGTTTTCAGCGTGTCCATCTGCGGAATCTCCCTCGCCTCGTCGAGCGCGAATCTGATCAGTGCAGCCTTATTCTTCTGGATGGCATCTTCTAAGCTAGTCGTTGCAGCCGCGAGAGCCTCCTCCAGCTGAGCAATCAGCCCCCGGTGTCGTTCAAGCGCTTTTGCTGCGGTCCCAGTGTTCTTCTCCGCCTCTGTATTCTTTGCATGCTCGAAAAGTGCAGTCACATCCGCCAGCGATGGGGCCATGTTATCAGGGGGTGCTACAACCTTGCAACGTTTTGCGTCTACAGAAGATGTGAACTCTGGTGAGCGGGAGCGGGAACGTTTGTAAGATGGGAGAAAGTCCGGCAGAAGCGGCAACGACGTCTTTTTCTTGTCTGTGGACAACCGGCGGGTAGCAGTTTCAGCAAGCTCGTCTCGGCGCGTGGGAATGCCTGCAACTGGTTTTGCTAGTGAAGCTTGTTGCTTTTGAAACACGGTGGTTTCGTCTATCCTCATACTGGAAGAGTCGCTTAATTCCTTTGGTGGCGATAGAAGGTCGAGCAACGATGTTGTCATTTCTTCAATGGTCGGTTGGCTGTGCGCGGGGTCCCGACTGTGGAGTATTTCCTTCAAGTTCTACAGAAGGCGATATCCACAGCTGAAACCGTCACTCTGTGACGTACACACCTAGAAGAAAGAGCATCTGGTCAGTACAATACCAAGCTGATGGAAGAGAAGGATGAGTAACTTACTCCTTCCTCGAACGCTGTTCCTGTCGCATGTGGCGTGGGGGATTCTGACGACAGGACACCAAAGGACTCAAGGATAGCTGTGACTCGTTGCCGCACCAATTGACGGGTTTGCGACTTGGGTATTGAGTCGTAATGTACCACACGTTGTGCAACTCCACTATTCAAGTATACGACAACCAGAGACCAGTGAGCGGTCTTCGCAGAGTGACAGGGGATCACGAGTAATTGGGATGACCTGATTGCTGCAGAGTATTTTGTAATCCACGGTGGGATGTCTTTCTTTTCAAGACAGACCCAGAGACTGTCTGCGAAGAAGACCCTTCGGTGTGAAGATGAACCCCTGGTAGATTGATCCAGCAGGTAAATAAATGCCTGGATGACCTCATCGTCCAGACACTCGGATTTAGTGACCTGCCGTCGGGCCTTGTCAATACCGTCGACCGTGGGCGTAGCAAACTTGGGCTCGGATGCGAGGCTTGGCGCGCCAGATTGACGGTTGACTGTGCGGCTGTGCTTTTTGGAAAAATGACTCAAGGAGTCGCCGTCCTCGTCAGGGATATTTAGGTAAGATAGCTCGTCGTCTTCCGGGAAGCTCAGCGGACTTTGTACTTTACGGAAGTCTTCGGGCATGAACGTCGTATTGTTTTCGTCCTCGTCGCTTTCAACGTTCGAAAATATGGAGTCGGTGTCGGCGTTAGAAGCGGTTTCGGCAGTCGATGGCGTGTCGAGACTGAGAACTGATCGTAGTCTTCGGCTACCGAGACCGAGTCTGGTGTGGAGAGCAACCCCAGCCTTTTCGGTGAGGACTGGGTATTCGGAATCCGTTGTGAGCGCCGCCTCGTAAAGCCAACCCCCCGGCTGCCAAAGGCTCGGGAGTGGGATATCTTCACGCAGCGCAAGTTGGGTAATTCGAAAAAGCCTGGAGACAAGATTGGACCCTAGCTTGGTCTTGATTCTTGTCGGGCGGAACTGGGCTGGGAAGGCGTTCTCTAGAGACCCCCAATGTTGCACCAATGTCTCTGTGTAATGTTGGTAAAAGTTGGTTCGCTTTTGCAGGGCTTTGGCTTTCTTTCTGTTGGCGAAAACAGTTGAAGCAGATTCAGCGCGTAAAAGATCGGCCTCGCCTGAATTTGTCGAGTTATCGGCGGCGACGATAATGGTGTCGTCGTCCGTTTTGTGTTCGTCTTGTGGGTAGTCGGTATTGAGGGGAGGGGGCAGGCTAGAAAGCGAGTGCGTCTGTATCTTTGGTTACTGGTCAGTGATCTCGGTGCATATGCAAAGTGAAATTGATCAGATGGGTTTGAGACGAACCGATTCTTTCGCATCAAGTGTAGGCATCTTGAGATGGAAGCGTCGCGCGAGAGCATTCGTATGAATACAAGATTCAGCGATACGTAGACCCAACTCAGGCGGGAGAGTGAGACAGGTGACTGCCGAAGGTGATGGTATCGATTGACCAGGTCAGTCGGTGAAGTACCTTAGTTGGAGCACCTTCCTACCTTAGGGTACCTCAGCACGGTGCACGCGAGGTGTGATTGTGGTAGTCAGGTCGATACGACAGTTACCTGGTGGGGGCAGGTGGGAGGTGGACACGGCGGACCCTCCCGCGGCCTAGGCTGGATCTGTGTGGATTTGTGGGAAGGACCCTGGCTGCGGGAGGAAACTTCAAGTAACGTCGGGTGGAGTTGCCCTCTCGGTCGCTCTGTGGCTTATGCAATGTGGCTGACCTTTTGAGCCCTTCTCGTCAGCCACTCAGCCCAACGGCTTGCCACATGTGGCTGAAATGGCTTTCGAGGTGAGGTGAGTCACGTGCATTTAGCGTGGCACCGCATCACGCATCCATTTTGGTTGGACGATTGCAATTGGCAAGCGGTGCTGGCTGATGGTTGTCGCTGAGGTGGTGTGCCCCACCTCTTTCTTGCTTCCGATATTTCCACGCCAACGGCGAACCACAAACCGCCGACTTGAGGATGACCAAACTCCGTTCTTCACCTAAGCTGATTCTCTCCAGGGGGCAGTGATTTTATACTCCGTATGGCTATTCTAGCGCCCCCCCTGTTCAACTTGATACTTCCCTAACGTAGAAGCTTTGACGTGTATCTGGGATGTGCGCTTCAATTGGTTGTGGAAGGAAGATCGGAGTCTGTTGACGTGCGTATCTCATGATATATCCGCCAGCTCTACTTACATAATGATTCAAGCTCACTCCAAGTCTGCTTCAAGTCAAGTTTAGGTGCAGAAACAGAGAAGGGGATGAACAAGAGAGCGGAGACAAGAAAGACCCTCCATTCTCTTTGTCCAAGGAGGTCAAGTACACAGGCTTCCGCATCCCTTCATCGCAGTTCGCCGGGAGAGGGGACACATTGAAGAAATCCACGTGCATCAGTCACACTATGTCCCGAATTCACATTGATTAATTGCAAGGCTGGCTCCTCTTGTTTACCTACCGTACTAAGTAAGAATCCACCAGGTTCCAAACTATGTTTCATCTACCACAGAGCCATGAGTTACGAGTGCACCCTTACCTTATTTGGCCTTAGATCTGTTTATTTTTTAAGTAATCTAAGCTCCTAACAGGGGAAGAACACCCTTCGATATATGTTATGGTACAAGAACTGAAGGTTTTGCCACATGCAAGCCAGCTAAGTGAACACCAGCTAATAAAATAGGACACAGCCGGTTGGTTGCCTTTCCTCAAGCCGCAGTTCAGTTGTCGGTCAACATAGCGTCTCCAATCTTCTCTGCAAACATGTCTATCGGGTAGTCATCATCGGCTCCCATTCTGTTCGAGCAGGCACCGTGGTACGTGAGACTCGTGCTGCTTTTGATCCAGTCGACAATTTGCTCCTTGGTTTGGACTTCCGGGCCGGGGCTCCAGGCCGATTCGACAATGGTGCTGTTCAGAGCGGATGCGGTGTGAAAGAGGCAATAGCCATCTCGAGATCTCGCTCGTCGCCCAGCCAGTTGGGATTAATAATGGGGGCATCCAGGGTCTCAGCGCTTTGGATAGTCATGTTTCCCCGAGCCGCCGTTGAGTATAGCGTCGAGCCAATGAGGAGGTAGTTTTCATCTGGTCCAATATCAGAGGGCACGGCAGAGCTCTCCAGGCTGAGGAAGTTGATGTCGGGCCAGTCTAACGGGTGGCTGTCCAAGAGAGCCTGGGTTGCATTGCTGAGAAAGCGATTACTGACGCTGGAGGGGATCTTTTCGTAACCTGGGTTCACGCTGTCAGCTATAAAACGTCCAAGAGTCTTCACTCAAGGGACGGAACCGATGATGTTTTCTCCAAGACTTACCAACAGCCTAAGTGGCGCCAATGGAAGGAAGAGGACCAGACTGGCTGGATAAGTACTCATCTACTACCTTTGCGAGTACCTCAGGATTGCGAGCAACAATCTGCGAGTTGGTCTCGACGTTGACCTTGAAAATGTGTGCTTGGAAAGGGTGGTCCTGGGCTGCGAGTCAATACACATTCCGCCATTCATCATGAAGTGTCCATATGGCTCCTCCATTGATTTTGTCCAACGCCGGGAACATCCGCCACAACATCGATACTGTGTTGAGAGAGAGTCTGGGAGGGGCCGATACCAGAAACCATGAGAAGTTGAGGAGAGCGCCACTGCATCATTTCATGTCAGACGAGTACGGTGTTGAGATTCAGAATACTACACTTACAACACCTGCTGTCAAGATCACCTCCTTTGTGGCCGACAAAGTCCATTGCACTGTATGAATCTTGGAGTTGCCTTCAATAACAGCGCCATTGGCCTTCTTGTCTCCGTCAAACAAGATGCGCTTGGCCATGGCATTGGGGTAGATCTTGAGGCCGGCCTTCTTAGCCCCAGCTTGTAAGAAGGAGGTCTCAGATGAGCTGCGTGTTGCTGTCTTCGGGTCGACAGCTGAGGTGATGGCCCCGTATCCAAGTAGGCTACCATTGTTGAAACCTGGGATGTGCTCGAGACCTTGCGCCTCCATCGACTCACCCAGACCGACCATGGAAGGTGCGATGTAGTTTCCATAGGACACCTGTAGCGGACCACCAGTGGGATCGAAGGCTGCCTCATCGTATGTACATGTAATGTTCAGCTTCGGATCGATCTTAGTTAATTCAGGTGGCGTGAAGTCGCAGCTTTTCTCGTAGAAGGGGATCACGTTGTCCCAGGACCAGAAGTCGTCCTTGACCTTCTCGGCCCACAGGCCGTGTGCACCGGCAGTGGATCTTGAATACCCGCCGTAATTGGCAGCAGAGCTCAAGAAAGGCTTGTTCAATATCGATTATCTTTGGAGGCATTTTGAATCTCAAAAAGCAAAAGTCACCACTTACGCGCCACCAAAGGTAACACCTTGGACATAACCAATCTCCCTCCCGTTATAACCCTGTGATTGTCAAACGTCAGCGCTTGTTCTCTTGATTCCCAACCACGCAAAAAAGAAAAAAAAGAACAAAAGGAAGGAAAACAAATAACTCACAGCGATAGGCTCCGTGTTGATCTGAATGGCAGCCAAAGAGTTCAGGGTTCCAACGTTGGTTGGGTTCGCAGCCTCAAAGTGGTAACCGGGGATCTGGGTTCTGTTGCTAGTAACAATCTCGTAAAACGTTCCAGCCTCAATCAGAGCAATAGTATAATTGGCGGGATCCAAAGCCAGGCGAGCAGCAAGGGCGTTGCCAGCGGTGCCACCACCCACGACAATGTTGTTATGTCGCATTGGTTCCGGGCATGCCGAAGGAATTGCCAAAGATTTCGGTCACCCCGGCATCATTGATCTTTGCTCCGATGGTCTCGGCCGCGGCCACGGCCGCAAACAAGATAAATACTGCAATAGATTGGCGAGGTGACATGATTGTGCAGGTTACAGAGGGTTTATGCAGGAACTTGAAAAAGAGCGGCGAATGAGCGAATGACAAGCTTTGGAAGGGCTGCAGACAGATAATTTGATTGCTACCTGCCGTTTATAAGCTCTTCTGTCCTTCTCTGTGATACCGTTCGTCTGTCTTTGTATCGTTTTCGGTCGAGTTGCCCGAAGCCCGGAGAATGAGCCCGGTTGCCGGCCCGCTGATCTCGGTAGCGCCCCTCGTTGCGCATAATCAGTGACTCGAGTTCTTGTTATTTCATGCGACTGTACCCGTAATTTCCTCTCCTAGCAAAAGGACTTGGCAACTCTTAGCAAAATCTAGGCAGCAATTGCACATCTCGAAATATTTGATGGGTCCGGCGCGCCATCAAGACCGTGGTCACGGAAGCAGAGTGGTACTGACTCCTGCCGTCAGACTCACGTTGTACTCGCTTTATCTCGCAGGCGGGATACAGATTTGGGGGCGTAGCCTTGCCGACGGGACATTATTCAATCTTTTGTCAGCTCTTCATGGCCAGGACCCGTATCAGCTTCCTGGCACACAAGCCCAGCTGAAGTCAAGCTTCACAAGCGTCTTCGCGATTGACTACCTACTTCGCATATTGGTTTTCTTCTTTTGTGAGGTTGCTGATAGCTCTCATCCTACTTCTTCGGCCATCGGTCTGTACTTTTTGGGCCAATACTTTTCAGTTATGCTGGTCTTGTATTTGGAGGACTCTCGACACGCAGCGAGACCAAATTTCACAAGGTCAGTCTTGTGTTCTTCGCCATTCCAACACATCCAAGTCTTCCGAAGTCGATCGTCATCGCGATGCATCTAAAGTAATACTGACCTCTGACACTACAACTCAGGCTGTCTCTTTGGCTTCTCCTGTTCCAGGCTACAGGAATCGGGTGTGCCGGACCAATATGGGCCGTTTCTTGTCTGGAAAGAGTTGACCATCTTCCTCCCGCGAAAGGCTCCATGGCGGGACTACCCCTGATTTCCCCGGATGTCTCTTTCTCAAATTTTGCAGCCCTTGTTGTAGGCTACGCAATTCCTGCATCACTGATGTTGCTACCATCTCCCAGAGTTCTATCCGTCGACTCCAAGCAAGTTGCACTGGTTCTCTGGAATGTGTTTCCAATCCTAGTTCCAGCTGCGTTTGCAGGGATCCAGGCTGTCACGTCAGCAGCCCGGGGCAAGCAGCATCAGGCCACTGGTTCCCGCGGGGAGGACGCCGCGACTATAACTCGGCCATCCATTCAGACAAGTCGTCACACCATGTCAACCATCAGCCTTATCTATGCCCCTGCGCTCATCGTCAGTGTATACTCACACGTCGCGATCTTGGCAGTCACGCTCTTCACGCGCTTGTTTCCCGCCCTCTTTCGACCGGAACACTTAGCAAGCCTCACGCCGTGGGGAGTTTTCGTGCCGCCCCTGGCTGTGGTCGCTGGGCAAACAGTAGGTGACGGCACGCGTAGATTCATGCTGAGGGATCAGGTTTTCGGGTACGGAATAGTTGGTATTGTCATGTTACTGCGACTTCGCAGTGTGGCCGCCGCGGCGAGTAGGCCGTTGGATTTCACAAGGATTTTTCTCGGGTTATTGGTCACCACGCTTGTTGCGGGACCTGGTAGCGCTTGTTTACTGACCTGCTGGATCACGGATGTGATTTTCCAGCTCACTTGAAGACGATCGTTGTCCTGGTGATCATGCCTATTTAGGGATGTGAGCTTCTGGCAGGCATTGAGTCAAGGTTTAGCTCTCGACGAAACCACGGTGCATAGGTGTGAAGGTCTTGAGGAGACCAGGTATCCTATCTTACCTAAGGTAGCCCGCAATGACAGAGTCTTATCGAAATAAATGGAATCGCCCATCGTCTCCGGGCGGTATCATGTACCTTAATTCGGCATACAATTATTATTCCCAAGGCGCTGTGTTCGATGACATACGTCGCTGGGAAAACCATATCATTTGTGAATCCAAGCTGCCTTAATGTTGGGTGCGACGCCGCAACTACGATCATGCACTACAGTACTGCCTACATGGCTGGAAAATTCATGTTTCATCATTGGAATGGTGAGAGGAACGACTTGGTTACACCATCGATTCAGTTGCATGTCCTTGAAAATTTGTTACTCGAAACTAAACATTGCTATAACAATGATTTTAGTCTCTCCTCCATGTCTGGTTCTGCCTCTAATGTTGACAACTTTCCTCACTTTGGCTACGTATCACAAAAACACGGAAATAGAAGCACTAGAAATTCAAAAAGACGAGATTCGTAATTCAGTATTGGAACTCTTGTCCGACGAGCTTTTCGCTCAACTTCCACAACCTTTCGGCTTCAATGTGACTAGTACCCCACGGTTTCACAGTTTCAACCTAAGGATCGGCAATGTGTGAGTTCTACAGGTAGACACCGTTGTTAACTGCGATCATGAGTCAATGAAATGTAATACTGGGCGGAAGTGGTTGATGGAAGGAATGGGGGTAGTTCCGCATTGACGGGCACTCGTTCATCAGTCTGACAGTCATGCCAACGTACACTTCAAAGACGGCTCGAAAGCCGCGTACACATGAGTAGCAGTGCCCTGATCAGGGGTCTTCCACTTGAACTCAGCCCAGCCCTCCTTATTTCCAAGGGAGCGATCAACGGCCGCTGATGTATCGCGCAAAGTTAGCCACCACACCCCTTTAGATACTGTAATTTGAGTTTCGGACAACGTACGGAGACCGGCAAAGTCGCTTCCCCATTCAATGTGGTTGGAAAGGTTCGTGCCAATGACGCCCGGATGCAGACTGAACGATAGAAGACCACGCTTCCCGAGCTTCTCGGCGACAGAGAGGGAAAACAACATGTTGGCGGTCTTGGACTGGCCATCCGCAATCCACTTATTGTACGTCTCGGACCCCTAACGGAATTGTTTAGAATTAGCACCATTGAGACTCCTGACTCGGGGAGAACATTATCCTACACGAAAGTTGTATCATCAAATCGGATGTGACTGAGACGATGACCGTCACTACTAACATTAACGATTCGAGGCGCGTTTGAGACGAGGACCTTGTAAATGATAAGGTCGGTGAAGAGGAAGTGAGCGAGGTGGTTCGTGGCAAATTGGCTCTCATATCCATCAGGTGGCAGCTCGTAGTTAACAGCCATGATACCGGCATTATTCGCGAGAACATCAATGAACGGCACGTCGTCCCACGATAAGACGGTCGCGGCAGCCTTCCTCACGGCAGCAAGCGAGCCGAGATCCAATTCGAGAACTTTGGTCTTGACATCGGGGTGAGCTGCCTTGACGACTCCCGCGGTTTTCTCCGCCTTTTCTGGATTTCGTGCTACCAGAACCAAAGAGGAGGTGAGGCTTTGGCAATGGCTTGAATGAAGTTGGCGCCTAGACCCCCAGGTGAAACGCCAGTAGTGAGGACAACCTTTCCCTTGATTTGAGAGGCGAGTTCGTCGACAAGGCCACTGGCGGTGGCTGCTGCGTCATATGTCGAAGGCATTTTGATCTGGTCTTTGTTCTGTTGCGAGATGATTCCGCGTCCAACTAATCGCTCATGTAATGTTGAGGTTGCAAGGCCAGGTTAACTAAGTAGCTTTGAGGGAAGGGGGACTTTTAGATCAAAAATGGACTGATCGTTTCATTCAGTATGGTATCTCTTCCTAACTATCCAAAAGTGCGCTTATAATAAACCCTAATACAATCGGCATGGGTCTTGACTTAAGTTGGCTCAAAGCAAGCGGCGCGGGCAATGGCGTCCTGGCCTGGCTGGGAGACTAGCCCTGGGTATCCGCCGCTCCCAAATTAAGAGCATACACATTATCCGTATTCGTGCCCCGTACAGTAGTCTACAGTCTAGTAATGCAAGCACGTAGCGGGAGGAACGGTCTGTCTGGTCTTTTCGTTGGGAAAGCTTGCTTATCTTTTGCATGGTCCTATTGCTAGCTGCATGTGCTTGTTTTTCTGCGCCAACAACATACATAAGGAGTGTGTGATAATGATACGGATAGACAGACACCTTTGGCATGGAGCTCGCCCAGGGAACACTGGAAGTCCCCTGTCTCATTTCTGCCATCTAATCCATCCAATACCCCCCCAATACTACTTCTCTTCTGGGTTATCCGTAAATGCAGAGCATGCCCGGAAGAAAGCCCCGGGACCGCTTTTTTCAGTCCATGACGGTGGCTGCAATCACCAGCGACTGTCTCGTCTCCACTGTCAAGCCCTTCTCGTGTACAACGATGCGGCCGTTGATGACGAAAACGCCGTTTTCCAATTTCTTAAGCGCCGGATCAGCCACAAGGAATTGATGTTGTCCGGCTATCAATCGAAGTGAGGCATTTGTTAGCTTCAAGGGCAAAGAGCAGGCTATCCGTTCCAACACGCTGAACCGGGCCTCATGACTCATGGGGCTTGTGCACAAAAGTACAATGCAGGTAGGCAGGCATAGGTGATATATGGCACTCACTGGCAAATCCAAATGGCACCGTGACCGCGTCAGGCTGCATTCCGAATATCTTCTTGACTTCTGGGGCCATTTTGATGATACCTTGATAGCGGAAGTCGATCGAGTGGCCTTCCTCCGTCCTGACCAATCGTTGCTTTAGTGAAAGCGAAATCCAATGATGCGGCCACCTGCTGGCATAGACTGTATGCCTCTGTCAGATTGTTTACTTACTTGGCAATACCCCTCAAATCAATCCGCCCGTGGGTACCGTCCGAATCGAAAGATAGCCAGTCGACGCCAAAGTTGACTTCAGCCTTGAACGCGGGCTCGAATTTCGGTACAGTCTCGATGGTGCATGTCGGAGTTGCCTGAAGGTAATACCAAGCGTCAATCCAATCCCTTGACAATACGACTCTGACCTTGTATTCAGTGGGACATGAACACATGTACTCACAAAATGCATCAATCGGGAGCCATTTTGTGTGAAACCTATTAGGTTCTATGCGTCAGAATACGGTAGGAAACTACTCCATAGAACCCGGCAACTCAGATGGTGTCTCGCCTATGTCGTTCAAATCAGCAACATTGACCTTGGTGATGATGGCTGGCTGAACAGTGGGGAAGCCCGCTTGAGTCGGTGTCTGGGTAATTATGGGCAGTTGTTACTTGTGTTCGATATTGTGATGACAACGTTTTGTTTGCGGAAGCTATCGGTCTTGAGAGCGATGAAAGCTAAGGTTTATTCTCTCGTGCCTCAGAGTTCATTTGAGCATCTGCATTTATTATTTGGGATCGGACCACATTCTCCTCATTCAGCTCGGTCAGTATCACCGAAACTCCTCTCACCACGGTCCGGCTGTGGCTGGCCGTGTGAGACGCATACACACCACGCGGGCTGCACATACCACGTGTCATGTTTCGCTTTTGCCAGGTGTTGAAATTCAATAAGGCTATTCTCTTGCCGGCCAAGCGTCCCGTAGCTTAATTTTCACTATCAAAGTCGAAAATGAGAGTTTTGTGCCCATGAAGAAGGGACGTAACTGGAGAACATCCATGCAGCGCCGAGGAGGCTTCCCATGCCCAGCAACCACGCGGTTATGCGCATCCCAGCACTCCGGCTTCTATGTCTCCACGCCACAGCTCCGGTCGGGGTGTCAATTGTGGATACATATTCCAGCTTTGGCGCAGCACGAATGTACTCGCTCACGAAATCAGCAAGAGCCCGGTCCGGCAACATGGGCATAACCCACTCAGCGAGCCATCGGATCGGCGGGGTATCCCAGGCCTGGACGCGGGTGATGAGTCGTGAGAGACTTGCAATGCTCTCAACCCTGGCCTGGTGCTCATCCTGATAGGACTTGAAGCAATGCTCAATGGTATCTAGACTCGGCAATCGACCCTTGGTCTGGTCCAGCATTTGCACTATCTGGTTGCATGCCGCGACTACGGACTCGATGCCCGTGTTCCCGCCTAGTCCGATGTTGGGCGTCATCTTATGAGCGGCATCGCCTGCCAGCACCACGCGGCCAGAGAACCATTTCGTCAACACGCCCTCTTGGATAAGGATGAGCACGCCGCGATCTCGGCGACTCCATAGTCTGCCGAAGGTGACGGACTCCAAGACCGGGTGGTCGGCAAACACCTGCGCCAACTCCTTGGCATCCTGGTCATCATATTTGACACGCTGAGGCCAGAAAATGGGCTCATCAAGTTTGCAGAAGACGAACCAAAAAGCCCGATCCGGCTGCGTCAGGGTGAGAAACGATAAACGCCGATCCGATGTCGATGTCATGTCTCGTTCGCCTAGAACAGGTTCCGGAGGGCCGGTGCCCACGAGACATTTCTAGTGAGTTTGGATACGCTTCTTCTCGGCATTCGTGTTGCTTCCGGGGGAAAATGTCATAGCGTGGTCCCACATGTAGTTCCTTACCCGGCTGTAAACGCCGTCACAGCCCAGAATTATGTGTCCTTTCTCGGAGCTTCCGTCGCCGAGCAGTACCTCAACTCCGTCCCCCGTCTGCTTCACGTCCTTTACCTCGGCTCCTGTTCATACCGGAGACTTATCGGGCAGGCAATCATAAAGAATCCGCAGCAATTTGCGTCACTCAAGTAGTAAGATGTCCTGGCTGTGGTTGTGCTTGACGCGGTCGAAGAAGCCGTTATCAGATTGTGTCCGGCCGTCTGGACCTCGCGAATAATATCGCAGACAAGGCTTGCAGGCCGCCGCGCAAGCTTCGAGACAGCCCATTTGATTTAGTATGCGGGCTCCGTGGGGATACAATGCGAAGCTTGCGCCCTCGGGAGGATCGACCTCGGTACGTCGCTCTAGGACGCCATGATCGATGCCAGCCTTTTGGAGACAATGGGATGCAGTGAGGCCTGTGATGCCGGCACCAACCACTATGACGCCGCCGGAGGTCAATGTGGCCTTGATTGTGGCTGTATATGCAGAGTGTTCTGAAGAAATGATGGAGAATGCTATTTGTGTGATTGGATTTAATGAGTAGACTTGACGATACACCCAGTTCGCAACACTTGGGCTTTGTTTATAAGTCCGATTTAAGCCAAAACAGCTGGCCGAATCTGAGGGTATGATTTTCAAATGGTGATTCATCGGTGCGCTCTCGCGATTGATGAGGCGTACTTTTTTACCTTTTCTCAACTTCTCCGCGAGACCTTCTATCGAGACTAGGATTCGATCTTTTGTCTGGGCCCGGTGGCTAATGTTTAACCAATCTTGCTCTTCTTGTGAGCTTATTGCGGATCAATGGCCCAAATAATGCAGATCACTCGTCTGGAATCACCAAACGTTAAAAAGTGTCGCCAAAGCTGCGCACAAGAAACACAAAAACTCAACTCAACGCAAGCCCCCTTCTCGCCGGAGTAGACCGGAGGAAATATCCAGCCTATTTGAGCTTAGGACAGCCTTTATAAGAAAACGCAACGTACGGATCCCGGGTTCGACTACAACTCAGCCACCTACTTGATAACTAGAGAGTCACCAAGATCAACTCGAATATCGTCATCAATGGATCTACATTCAGTAAAAGACAAGGTAGTAGTTCTGACAGGTGCCGCCTCTGGAATAGGCCGGGCGACAGCTCAACTCCTGGCCAGCCGTGGAGTTCTGCTGTCTCTGGCAGACATCCAGGGACTGGCTCTTGAGACCCTGGGCCGAGAACTTGAAGACCTGCAGCAACACCTCTTCAAAGACGAGGCGCCTCGGAAGCCGCCACTTACCACCGTCCTCTATGTGCGCTCCCAGACAGCATGCAACGAATGGCTTTCCAAGACAGTGGCCCACTTTGACGGGCGACCGATATTTAGCGCGGCGAATCTCGCCGGTGTGATCAATCCTAGCATCACCCTCGAGCGGGGGAGTATCCGTAACGTGACGGACAGTGAGTTCGACTAGGTAATGGATATTAATGTCAAGGGCACGCTCAACTATCTACAGGCCGAGCTGCCTTACATGGCGTCGGGGCGGGATAGCCGGTATAGCAGCGCAATTTTCAACGCGTCTAGTATGGCCGACTCGGACCCTTACCAAAAAAGAAGGCTACAATACCATACGAGCGAATGCGATTACACCGTAAATATTCCTTATCTTCGCTCATCGCGTCTCCACTCCCCCGGGTCTACCCCTGTCCAGCCGTTCCTTTAGATACGGGCATATAGGCCCTACTTTATATGCTTCTATCACTTCTTATATCGCTTTAGATATTTCCGTAGGGATAGATCTGTTCCCGCTCTCTCCCCTTTAAGCTTCTTACACATCTCTAAGTAACGTTCTCGCACAGGATCACAATTTGCTAACTAGAATCCTGGAATTACTAAGGGCATCATTGCCACGCAAATGATTACAGAAAATGAGGGCATTACAGGCACAACGGATCTCTTTAGGCAAAGGGATCCGGGGTCCCTAGCACAAGAAGGTAACGCTAAAAAGGTCGCTCGCATTATCGCGTTTCTCCTCAGTCCCAAAAGCAGCTTCGTAAATAGGACGCTGCTTCCTATAAATAAGGGGTAGATATACTAAAGAGGTTCTTCATCATGCGATAGTTACAAATAGGACCCTAGACATACAATCCTAAAGGATTACCGGGGCGTAGTGTTAGTAAAATGTTTAATCAAGAGTAGATACTTACTAAGGGTGTAAAACTTAAACTAAGTTTGGCCTTGTCGTCTTTTACACTTCGGATCTTTAAATTTCCTAAGCGCTCGCCGTAATTAAATAGGATACGTTCCGCAACCCTATCCATACATTTCTTTTCAATACATTATAATTACAAAGTAAAGTAAGATCTCTATCGATAACCTACGTTCGCGCAACGAGGACACTAAGTCGATCATCTACACTATCTAAAGCAATTAGCATTTCTTCAACCTCAGACGCTGGGCTTCAACAAGTCGAGTAATCAAAAACCCCCGGGCAAGTGAACCGCCACCCGCAAATAATTATCTATCTGCCTATGTACTAAGGCTATGTGAGCGCGCGGCAGAGGTTAGAATGACAGCTCCGGCGCCCGCTAATAAATACGTTGCAACTAAGATGCATAATTTAACGATGAACGTGCTTGAGTGCCGCATAGTTTACAAGCAGAGACATCACACATAAAGGGAATCTAGACTTTGATACATACAAACTTCAAAACAGCCGAAAATTACTTACTTTTAACAATCACTATTTATAAATACGGGACCATCACATATCTCCTCTACAACAACGTCTTGACAACCTCGATACCAAACTTATGCTAGTACAACCTCAAAAACCGCCCAGACAAACCCCGCTGGAATGAGCCAAGGACACACCCAAAGGCACACGGCATGCAAGGTCTGCCGGGACAAGAAAGTTCGCTGTAATGGAGGACAGCCATCGTGCAGCAAATGCCTTCGCAATGGTGATCGATGTCTCTACGTGCCAATTCCCACCCCAACCCGAGCTGTTCTGGCCGACATGGTCAAGGACCTGCAGCAACGACTAGGGGAGAAGCTATTTAAATCCTTTATGAACATCATTGCCGGGCTGACCAGGGAAAACGGACCCCACGGCTTTCAGAGCGAGCAGAAGCACAACTTCCTCCAGTCCACCAGCAGCAGCAACAACAGCAGCACCGCCGCCGAAGCATCTTTGAAGATTCTCAAGTCGGAACAGCACCGTAATCGCCACCATCATTTCCATCCGCTACCGATACAGTCGAAACGATCATGCAGAGTTTGCCTACTATCCCTAAGCAACCGCAAATGCAGTCGAAGCCTGGTCAGACGGGAATAATGCCCTCTATAATCGACTATGATGGGCCATGCTTCGATGCATCTAACTTCCATATGATCCTTCATGAGACCCACCACGCCTTCGATGGAGGCCTAGACCCAGATATGACACAACGAGTATCGCGGCACGTAGAGAGAAGTAGCCATGACCAAATTCACAGCTTTTTACCAAGTTTAAGAGAGCTCCGATCTGTCGCCCTCGGGATCGGCGACAAGTTGAACGGAGGCGGGAAGGTATCGACAACGACAATGAGCGGTAGTAGTATCAGGAGCAGCAGCGAAAGCAGCGGCATCAACGGGTTTGGTCCGCCCTCGGCGCTGCGGCCCGTGACGAATCTCATTCTGGGCGTTGCCTCCACCCAGGTCAGAGTTTCAGCTCACTTAGGCGTCATCGCAGATTACCTGGGCTGGGCTATCTCATTACCAGACACAGGGGGGCGCTCGGCCGAGGCGCTGAGGATACTCGAAGCACGGCTACATGAAATCAAGCAATTTGCGCATTATGACACGTACCAGTCATACAAGCAGCTATGCTCGTCTTTTGAAAATGTTCCCGACTGGTTTGGGCCCTTACAGAAGCTAGAGACCTCAATACAGGAGAGTAGGACTCATGCCAAGGAGTTCTTTGAGAAAGATCATTTCCACTCCTGCAAGGGGCTGGAATCAAGTACGATTCTGACTGTGATAGCGCACTCAAAGACGATTCATAATCAGCGCACTATACAATAGAGTATCTCTCTTTACGTACACCTCAACATTGAGGTCAATTCACCAATAAAATGTCGTAAATATTTAATCACGAGGCTGAGTAGCGTTTCAATGATGATTGTATCCTACTCGGTTTATCCATTTCGTAAATTCCATTGTCTACCCATCATCAAGGGCCAGCCGTGTACCTGGTTGAATTATTTGTTGACAATTTAGAGCCGTTTCCTAATTGGACTTTGCTGAATTACATTTGAAAAGCCCAAGTCAGGAAGTCTTGAGCTTTCTCTGAGCAAGATATTCGTCTACAAAACCGGCAAAATCGTTTGGTCGGTACGGGCTGAGCAGTTCTGAATCCCAGTTGGACTTGCGGCGACTTTGGAGTCCCATGTACTTGAACAGCAAGTCAATATACTGTAAGTCCTTACCATTAGTACTTTACGAAGCTTTATAAGTAATTCAGGGGTCTTGGAAGCAACAGTCTTACTGGGAGAAAGTCGTAGAGCGAGTAAGGGAACTTTTGCCCCTGTCCGAGATACCGCTTTCGTGTCCACGCATTCCACAGTGATACTTCTTTGGCCATGGAACCCGCGTCCGGGAGTTCGATCTCGCCCTCGAGATACAATATGGACCAGAGAGACTGGACCTCAGATACCAGTGGCGTTTGAACCGTGTGAATTTGTCCCATAATAGCGAGGGATCTGTCGCCGGCATCGGCCATTTCAACAGGTACCACGCGTCGATAGAGACGCCATTTGTGCTGACGATCTAGTGACAAGCGTTCATCATACGCCAGCTTGGGCGTTGAAACGAGGAATGGTAGATGTCGGTTGACATCTTTGTCCGCAGTTGCATCGTAGCTTTTCCAGTTAATGATGCCACCGTCCTCAGTAGACCAATGAGGAAGTCCGATCTTGGACTTGTGCTGTTGGTCGAACATGCCAAAGTGATCGCCCCAACCAGTGCACGAGATGATGTAGTCGGTCTTAATGGACTTTGCAGGCTTCAGTAGCACCGCGTTGTCTTTCGTCTCGACGAGCTCATCCCGAATCACAGACAAGCGTTCGCTGTGAAGCGTCGGCCAGAAATCGGGCAGTGTAACGACGCCAAGACCAGCATGGGCCCAAAACACACCTTGTCTCTCAATCTCAGGCATGAGCATCTTCACATGGTCGCCAGCTCCGTAGCCAGCGTGTCTCTGGCTTACCAAATCGAGAAACTCCCAGAATCGTCCGACGCACCAGCGACCTAGCTTGGTCCTCTGGGAAAGCCGAGGCATCATGCCCTCTGTGTTGAGGATTGAAGGGCTTGGGAACGTCATGAGCCGTGTGGATGCGAAGGCAATGGCGTTTACTGCACCCAGGATCTTGAATGGAAGAATGGCCAGAGGACCAGCGCCCTCAGTACGGATCACGCACGTCACTCTTTTGCCCATCTTGAGCAGCAGACATACGGCATCATACGCTGACTTGGCGGCGCCAACAACGACAACGGACTGAATTGCCGGAGACTCAAGGGCGCTGAAGGAAGTACCGAAATCTCGCGAATGGATCCGATAGATTCCCCTGACTGGGGAAATTCTGGCATTGGAGGGATCGAGGTGACTCCGGTCGCAACCATCAGCTTTTCAGCCAGAATGACGTGGTCCAATATTTCCAGCTCGAGACGCCACCCGCCGGTGTTTTGGACGGCGTTTGTAACAAATGTGTTGAATCTAATGCGACGAAGGAGGTCGTGCTCTTCTGCGTAAGACTGCAGATACCCATGTATCATATCGCCAGTCACCCTGGGATAGTTCTCATTTCCGCCATAGGGTGGCATCAGCGTGTCAGAGTAGTCGAAGAGCTTTGGAAGACGTTAAGATTAGAAGCATTCCTTTCACTAGTCTTGAAAGCATGGAAAGGGAAAGACTGACTCCGAGCTTGACCTGCGCCACCAGGTTGGGATAAAGTCTGTCTTTGCTCCAAACGCCTCCGACGGTTGAATCCGAATCAATGATGAGCAATTCGATATTAGGACGCAATCGAAGATACGTCCTGGCTGCAATGAGTCCGTACCATCCTGTTTTCAAAGTTGCCGTGAGCACGTGAACATCATTTTGACATTTGTGAAGAAGTTTTCCCTAGGAGTCTTCCGTCTTCGCTAACTCACCTGCAACTATAATGACCACATCAACCTTTTGAATTGTAGTTCCACCATGGCTGAGTATTCGTGGTCCTCAAATTTACGATACAACCTTAAATTGTTTCGGATTTGGATATTATTCTTTTACCAAGCTGAGTCAACAAACGACAATGTAGAAAAGCGGGCGGAAGAGCTGGAATGCTTGGGTTTTGGCTAAGAGAAGAATGGAAATCCGAAATTAAATTGGCACTTTTCGCACATATGGGATTGAGCTACACTTGTCGCACATAATTGGATCTGCTTTCCCGGGCTGGACCGGCGTTCCGAACTCAATCCCAACCCACATGATGAGTAGATGTCGCGTCAGTCACTTTGCAAACACGCCGGCCATGTTAACATCGTCGGAGGCTTTGGAACGTTTAGATTACGTTGTAATACCGTACTGTTGATTTCGTTCTTCAAGGTATACCTAGTTGTATCATCCGTGAATATCATCGGTCTGTGATGAGACGTCTCTGCCTAGCATTGCCAAAGAGATTGAGATTGATGATAAGAAGACTACACACGTTTAAAGTGTTGTTACTTATCTTAGGGCCACCGAGTCATCATGGACAATTGACCTCAACCTTGACCCGTTCTCTTCTATCTTCAATAGTGGAGCAATTCTTCCAATTCCACAGCTTTGTTTGCCGCCTCCATAGCCAATCATGAAGCTGACCGCCTGAGAGCATGACATAGTGCTGCCAATTTCATGTGTTTTCGGCCAGTCCAGAAAGCATCCTCGTTAGTCAAACTCTGTAGTGTCGAGCTAAAGTCCTCTCTCTATACCACAGCGCTAGAGAAACGGTCGCTCCCGGTCCCATGGTCAAAGCCCCAATCAAAAGTAGCATGAGAACCCGGCAGAATGGCACGGTCTCGGATGAGCCCTTGGAGCCCGTAAGAAGAAAATTTGCCCAGGATAAGCTTGATAGCGATATGATGATAAGATCGTACTGGAGGAATAGCCACGGCCCGTAGACGAGCACGTCTTCACCGACTCCCGATGGCCCGGTGTACAGGAACGGAACGTACATGCGCACGATCCCGACGGCGGTCTTGTCGGTGCTCTTAATGATGCGTCCCATTACGTAGAGATGCCCGAGACCGGACGTGAAGAATGTCAGAAGACACGAGAAGCGGACCCAAAAAAAGGAGGCCGCGGCCCAAATTCGGGGACCGTGGCCGCGGTCAAGACCCTGCCCGGGCCGAACCACCGACAATATCTTTGTCATTATTAACTGTATTCCAGACACCCAGAGTGGTTCCAGTTGCCAGAAACCCAAGACGAGCTGGTGTGTTGCTTATGATCGGCTTTTGGGGCCAAGCCATGTTGTCCCCATGCCCAGCACGGCAGGGAGGATCGCGCCGAGGGAAAAGCTCAACGGCACGGCTCGAGCTTGTTCCGCATCAATCATTCGACATGCCCCTCCGGATAAGGCCCATGGCAGATGAAGCGCGAAGTAAAGGGGAAGAGATATAGCTGCTCCAAAACATTGCCAGAGGAGACCAAACACGACGGGTCTTTGCCGTATCAACCAGCATCAAGAGTGTGGAATGCAATGGTCATGAATTGCTTATCTAGATATCCAGTACGGCTTGACACCCGGTCGGAGACTCTCAACGTAGAGCCAAACAAAGGCAGACTGTAGAGTAGAATAGGCGTCGACTAGGAACAGTTGATACCCCTCGTCATAGCTGTTGGTACCATAGAAAAAGAATGCCACTAAGCGAGAGATGAGAAGATCCACTGGTGGAAGCCCCATGTAGGACATTCTCAAAGGTATTTCGTTGCTAAGTCGACCGTGCCATACTGCGAGCAGAAGAGCCTTGACGGTGCCGTTGGCGAGGGAAACTCCCCACAGCAAGATTGTGGCAACGACGGCCAAGAGCCGGAAACAGAGAACGATGGCGCGGTATTCCATGGTTGAGCGAGAATGAAAATTCAGTCGATAACTTTGATTGATCCTACTGAGTTGAAATGACTGATCGCTACTGTCTTGACCGGTGTTGGAAATGCCTTGATGGCCGGTTTGAAAAATAGTCGAGGGAGACTTGGAGTGGCAACTTTGGCGGTGTGTCTTTCGAGATGAACTCCAGGAACATCTCATCCGGCTGGATGTTGACAGACAATAGGATCTTTTCTGCCCGCTAGTTTCCACATCCATATGTTTCAGAAACTTTGAACGAGATCCATCCAATAAAACACATCTCAAATCCATACTCGGACAACATGACCGATAATTAAAGCGATTATGAAAACTTTTGGGCCCAATGAAGCACCGGACAGAAACTCCCTTCCCGGAGTTAAGTGCCCGATGTGCTGGTTTAATCGTGCCCGTGGAATGGAATTGCCTTTGCATGGGAGTGCACCCGGATCAGTGAATTGGGAGTCCGGGAAAACAGAGCTGCGTTGTACTCTTTGATTTATGTTTGGCATTCAGTAGCTGCACGCCTCGGGTTTCATGTAGAGAGTAGGATACAGAGTCGCTACTTAACTAAAAGAATCAACTCTACCTCAATGAACAGGTCTGAGGTAATGCCAACAACCGAAACAGCAGAAGAACTATCTCAGAGAAGGCTTTCAAGACTTGAACAGTACACCCCTTTTCAAGCCGCACCACCATGTTACCTAGATCAGTCTATGCCGAGGCTCAATTATTTACAATGTCGACTAAGACTTCACATCACAGCTTCACTATAAACCCGGCATGCTCATCCTCAGTTTACGCGATCTATAATGCTTGCCACGCTCTCCAAGCTCGAGACTGTGACGGAGCTATTGTTGGTGGCGTCAATCTCATCATCACGGTTGACCAGCACATGAACACGGCCAAGCTTGGAATTCTCTTGCCCACCTCCACTTGCTATACCTTTGACGAGTCCGCAGATGGCCATGGTCGCGCTGAGACCGCAGGTGCCATCTACCTTAACCGTCTCTCGGACGCGATCCGCTGCGGAGATCCCATCAGAGGTGTGGTAAGAGCAACTGCAGTTAACACGTACGTTGTCCATTCATCTTCTCTTTTACCTGCTACCTTTGCACTCAATCCCATCTTCAAGCCTTTCGTTGCGAAAACGTGTACTTCGTTCCTCTATCGTCTTGCTGACATTAGGTCTTAACAACAGCAACGGAGAGGTTCCGGGCATGGGCATCACACATCCAAGCGTCAAGGGACAGGAGCGTGTTGTCCGATTGGCTTATGAGAAGGCCAGTCTTGACCTGAATCAGACTGCCTACGCCGAGCTTCACGGAACCGGCACGCCTGTCGGGGATCCTATCGAGGTTCGCGCCATATCAGATGCTCTCAACGATGCAAGGTCGAAAGAGAAATCATTGATCATTGGTGCTGTCCGTATCCCATTCCCCCATTAATATCACTGTGTGAATGTTCTAAAGGATGGAGCTGACTGAAGCGTCAAAAAACCATCTCAAGCCCAACATTGGTCACAGCGAGGCCTCAAGTGGCATCTCGGCTGTCATTAAAGTAGCTCTAATGACCGAGTCTGGAATTATCCCTGGCGTTGCCTTGCTCAATAAGCTCAACCCGGCCAGTAAGTCTCCTTTCTATCCTTTCTACCTGGGACATCGTAGTTGCCTCCAATCGCATGTGGCAAAAACGAGTGTGCTGATGAAAGCGGATAGTTCTCGAGGACGAATGGAACGTCAAAGTGAACAAGGAAACATCACCATGGCCGAGCGGGTTTCCAGTCCGCCGAGCCAGCGTCTCTTCATTTGGTTACGGAGGCACCAACAGCCATGTTGTGGTCGAGGCCGTCGAATCCCTGTACCCCTGGGTGCGTCTTTCTGCCGTCTTTCCATCTCTTCCTCCGTTCACTGCCTCTGCTTTCTTTTTCCCCGGGCATGACCATATCTACTAAGTTCCGTTGGTACAACGTGTCTTTAGTTGTTCATTTACAGCAACGTACGCTGATATCGATCTTAAACAGTATCGCCATGCCAAGCCAAAGCGCGCAGCCCAATACGATCATTCCACCAAGCGGCCGGTGTTGCTCACCATGTCCGCACACGACAAGGCAACGCTTGGAAAGGTCATCAAGGACATTGAAAATGTGGCTGCGGAATACTACGCTATCGACCTGGCACATACTCTGAACTTGCATCGCACCATCTTCGCGCAGAGGGCGTTCACCGTTTTACGTGAGGGAAAGGAGGCCTTTACGTTTAACGTAGAGACTACGATTCTCCGGACTAGAGGTGCTCTAATTAAAAAACCTACGTTAGCCTTTTTTTTATTAGCTAAGGAGTAAGTAAATATAGTCGTTTTTCTTTTCCTAAGCTAAGGAAAGCTTTTCTTACTATTTATTAGGCTTATAAATTAGAATAGGCCGGGTGACCCTGAACGAACTTTTAATTTTCGCCGATAATACTTATAATTTAGACCGAATTCTTACGTTGATTACGCCTGCGTTATCTTTTAAACTTATAGACTTTCTTCAAAGGGAGCTAGTAGATGTATCAAGTCGTATTAACGATCCCGTTGTGACCTAGCCGCTCTGTACCGCTATTTAGATCGCTGTCGTTAACCTTTTCTCGCAGTGGGATATTGAGCCTGCTGTGAGCGTGGGACACTCTTCTGGTGAAATTGCATCCGCCTATGCCCGGCCTCATTAGCGCGCCCGAAGCCATCATTGCCGCCTACTGCGTCGGTCTTGCCGTCCAGAAGCACTCGGGTGTAGGCTCCATGTTGGCTGTCGGCCTTGGTGCCAAAGAGGTCAGCTCTCATCTCCCATCCGACCCATCGGAGGTCTGTATCGCCTGCGAGAACTCGCCCCAGAGTGTCACCCTCAGCGGCCAGAACGAGGCCATTGCCAAGCTACGCGAGACTCTCTCTGCCGAAGATATCTTTGCCCGCGAGCTCAAGACCGGCCGGGCCTATCACTCGCCTCACATGACTGAGGTAGCCACTGCCTACGAGTCTCTTCTCACTTCTTCGTTGAATATTCTTAGTGAGGAAGACATCCAGTGGCGCCGTGACCGATCTGAGATGATCTCGTCCGTCACGGCCGAGCGGGTGATGGGCACCACGTTGCTGGATGGCTACTTCAGCCTGAACCTTCGCCAGAGAGTGCGGTTTAGCGAAGCCATCCAAAAGATTGGAACTGAAGACATCTTTAGCAAAGTTAAAGTGGCCCTTGAAATCGGTCCTCACTCGGCTCTTGCAGGATCTTTCAACCAGATTTGTAAGGCGAACAAGTTCGATCGCTTCATATACATCCCCTCCATGGTACGCAACAAGGATGATGCCAATCAGTTGCTATCTGCAGCTGGCACCCTGTTCATTGCCAACTACAACGTCAATCTGGAAGAGGTCAATGCAGCCGCGTACGACGAGCGAGAGAAGCATGCATTCCGCAGACCCAGGACGCAGTATCTACTGGTCAACCTGTCACACTACCCTTGGAACTACGCAAAGTCCCACTGGGCTGAGCCACGAGCAAAGCAAAGAGCAGCGTCAAAGGGAGTATCCTCGGCACGATCTTCTCGGCAGTCCTGTATCGGGACTCTCAGACGGAAATCGGGCGTGGCGCAACTTGCTCCGGGTCCGAGACGTGCCGTGGCTCCGCGACCACAGTCTCGGTGATAGTGCCATCTTTCCAGCAGCTGGGTATCTCGCCATGGCCATTGAGGTAAAACGTCAGGTCCACGAGACAGACGGCGATGGGCAGAGCCAAAAGTCTATTGGCGGTATCACCCTTCGCGATGTCGAGATCAAGACAACCCTCAACATTCCAGAGAGCGAAGACAAGGGCATTGAGATCCTTTTGACTCTCCGTCGGGCTGACGTACCAGGATTCTACTCATTCGCCATCGAATCGTTCCCCGGCGGTGATGATGGTAAATGGACTCTTCACTGCGACGGCTGTGTCCGCGTAGATGTAGAGAGTGACACCTTCGTCAACCAGTCCTTGTCCAACTCCCTTTCTCCAGTCGACGAGAAAGCTCTCAGCCAATACGTTCCGGCAAAGCGCTGGTACGAGGCCTTTGAGCGCGTTGGTTTCCGCTATGGCCGTTCGTTCCAACAGCTACACTACGCGCGCATCAGCCGCGACCTGCACCAGGCTGCTGGCGATGTCACGGTTCGCGACACATCCGGGTTGATTCAGGGAGAATCACGAGCTCTAATCCACCCCTCAACCGTTGACTCTTGTCTTCACCTTGTCACCATTGCTATACACGCAGGCGGACATAAGGAGATGCCGTGGGGCGTGGTTCCCACGCGTATCGAGGAGGTGACCATCACAATGCCCGAATCTGGCAACGTGGGACCAGACGTTACAGGGCATGCTGTCGCTTGGTCTGATGCTTTGGATAACCGGCACTTCATCACCAATGTTCAACTCACGAGTGCGAGTAGCCGGAAGACCGTGTTGAATATTCGGAATCTCCCATGTGTTGCCTACGAGGCTGCTGTTCCAGTCTCGATCTCTGCAACAGAGAATCCGCCACCTGCGCCTTTCTCAACTTCAGTCTGGAAACCCGATCTGTCGAAACTTAGACCAGCCGTTGAGATGTCAAAAATTCTGTCCAGCGGAGAATCGGCACATGACTCACTCGGCAGGTTGGTCGAGCTGGCGGTCTATCGCCAAGCCGTCTCCAACGTGCTCATCTTCGGTTCACCAACCTTGGAGGCTGTCAACGCCGTCTTGGCGCATCTTCCTGGCTCTTCAACCGTCAAGATCAGCTACCTTGGAGATGTTGCCCCCTCGCTGTCTCAGGAGGCACAAGGCCGCGTGAATATCTGCCCACTGTCGTCCGACACCACGTCCTGGGTAGCTGAACTCGGCCAAGAGACTTTCAACCTGGTCATCGCCGAGCATTCCGACTCAAACACGCTGCTATCTCTTGTGAATCAAGAGGGATGGGTCCTTGGATTCGTCTCAGAAAACCCGCCGCCGCCCTCGAGAGCCATCAGTCAAGGGCAGTACCACGCACTTCCAAAAGCAGTCCAAGAACCTGTCTCTACTGTTGAATCTCACCCGTCGGTTCTGCTTCTAACGTTTCCGAGTGCTGAGGGGACAAGCAGCAGCCAGCAAGATCTGGTGCGATCTCTGGAAAGTAATGGAAGCACAGTCACGCGAGTGACATTGACGGAGTACTCCGAGACTGAAACTCACTCATACGTGTTAGTCGACGATACCGACTGTGGATTCTTCTCCCTAGATCGACAAAGCTTTGATGCCCTCAAGAGAGTTTTCGCTACCGCCATCCCCGTTCTCTGGCTCACCAGGGGCGTCAACCAGGGTCGCTCCATGACTAGCGGAATGGCCAGCGGCTTCCTTCGAGTTCTATGCTCAGAGATGGCTGCTTCACGAGCGGTTCTCCTGGATTCAGCGAAAATGAGGCCGCCTAGATCACGGGCTGTACCATTGTGGACCTTGTCACGAGTGCCGCAACGGGGGATTTCGGCAGCGATACCGAGTTCTGGTTACACGAGGGCGTGCTGCAAATTTCTCGCCTCGTACCGAATGATGACGTGAACCGAGAGCTCGACGATAATGTCAGACTGGCCGACTTCCCATCTGGACCCATTCCTGAGGGCAAGCCGATGAAAATTCGGGTTGTGGATGGAGGTGATCTCGGCATCGAGTTATTGACACACGAAGCTGATCTGGCGCCCGAAGATGTTGAGATTCGCGTATTCATGTTGCAGAGACCGTCTTCCAACCCATGGGGTATTCTAGTCACAGGCACCATTTTGAGAGTCGGCCATCATGTGGTCGCATCTGCTGTTAGAATACAAGCCATCGGTGTCGTTGCTGGGGACCTTGGCACCGTGGTGCGCACGTCAGTCTTCACTATCATGGAAGAAGTTAGTGAAGCTATCAACGAACAGTCTCTGCTCGAGAACTTGAGCCTCCTGTCAAAGATTGTGGACCTCACACTCAACAAGACACAACTACATCCCGGTGATCATGTTCTCGCGTTGCCAGGATCGGAGATGGCAGACAGACTAGTCTCACAGCTAGCCGTTGCTCATGGATGGAACCTCGCTATTGTTACTAGCTCTCTCGATGAGGTGAAGCGGTTCAAATCTGACCCAACGATTCGCGGCGCGCATCTGGTTGCATCAGACGGCATTGAAGCCATCAACAAGCACCTCGAGACCAAGAATATCGTCGCGGCGGCCATCTTGGCCCACGACTTTGTGGACTTCGTCGCGAGGTCTGGAGAAGACTTCCAGCTTCTGGAAGATTTCTTCTGTTAAAGAGCCATTCTAAGCCCCTGGTACACGATGTCACACCTTTCATGAGATGCGCCTCCTTCAATTCAACCCTCGACAGCTCAGCACCTTCGACACAGCTCTTGACGCTTTGTGTTGCAGAAATAAATCAACACCCATATCTACTATCACAAGATGACTCTTAGTTGGGTTATGTCAAAGATAAGAATCGTTTCATCAACTTGCAGGACAAAGAGACGCAATTCAAGGTGAGTGGGCGCTTAATCTATCCCTGCCGCCAAACCCGATATACGAGGTTTGGTACTAACGTTCAAATTATTAGATCATTCCGCCTGCGTTATCTTGCCATCTCTCAAACGAAGCAGCCAACCTTCTTGTCGGCTGCCTAGGTGGGCTCGGCCGCAGTCTGACAAAACGGATGATGGACCTCGGAGCCCGTCACTTTGCCTTCGTCTCGAGGACGGGGGCCGACAAAACCGAGGCCGCACAGGTCGTGGCAGACCTCAAGAATGCTGGCGCCTCAGTTTCTATCTTCCGCGCCGACGTTTCCGACGAAGCGGCCACGAGAGAGGTTGTCAATCGCGTCATTACTGAGCGCCCTATCCGCGGATTTGTGCACGCAGCCATGGTCCTGAAAGACGGCATTGTCGAGCAAATGACATACGATGCTTTCGACGCCTCCATCGGTCCCAAGGCACGCGGTGCCGTGACCCTTCACAATGCCCTCCGCGATGTGCCGAATCTCAACCTCGACTTCTTTGTGCTCACGTCGTCCGTCTCAGTACTGCTTGGCAACATGGGTCAGAGTAACTATAGCGCCGCCAACAGCGTCCTCGAGTCCCTTGCACGCTTCCGCACGGCATATGGTTAGCCCGCAACGTCACTCGCGCTCCCCATGATCCTTGGCGTTGGGGTGGTTGCTGAAACGGACGGTCTTGAGGCCTCTCTCACCCACAAGGGACTCTACGGAATCGACGAGTCCGAGATGCTTCGCGGCTTCGAGGTTGCTATGACACGAAACGGTAACATCTTCATGGGCATGGAGCCTCCCTGTCTCAGCGCCAGCATCACGGCCGCAACGGAAGACAACTTGGACCTTTACTGGTACCGCGACGCGCGCTTGTGCCATGTGCGAGCGGCCATTGAAGAAGCTGCGGGAAATCAGAAATCGAGCAATGGCCCCGGTGGTGGTGGTGAGAGCTTTGCTGAGAGTATCCAGAGCGTGTTGAAGAGCGACGGTTACTTTGCCGCCATTCAGGCTATTGCGAGACATATTGCGAAACGTATGTCCATCATCTTGATGATCGACGTTGATGGTATTGAGCTTGATGGGCCTTCAATTGCCACTTATGGACTGGACAGCATGATTGGTGCTGAGATGAGAACTTGGCTATTCAAGGAGTTTGGTTTGAATTATCCTTTTCAGCAGTTATTGTCGCCGACGTTGAGCTTTACGAAACTTGCGGATGTTGTTGCAGAGAGACTATTGGCATTGAGATTAACGGGGTCGCACATGAAATTGGCTCATATGTTACTAGCGTGAGACCTTTACAATTTCGTATTTTAAGCTTGCTCCTTACTGGAAAACTCTCAGTGTTAATGATCAGACCTGTTCTCAAGTGTCCCATTCACGTCATCTTCATGTTTTCCGATTTACAATTCATGGAGAGAGTTACTAGACCGAAAGGGGGAGAAATGCCATCACAAGAGTCAGGCATCTCCGACAGCGAATGTCAGAAGATGGGAAGATGGACAGGATGTGACTTCATGTTGATTGATTCGTAATCCGTACTACATTCATGGAAGGTCGGAATTAGCAGCACCCTTGTTGCCTATTGCCGGAAGAGATCTCTGAAGCGTGAGATGCCATTCGCCTTGTTGTCTCTATCCCTTGCAACGAACTTTTAACGCCATTTTGAAATCCTTCGTAAGCTGGCTACATAAATGAGCCACTTTCCCTCAACTTCAGAGCCTGGCTTTTAACATACACATTGTTCACCTTTATAACATTCACTTTCTCATAACTATCTCTGGGGATCTTTTGCCAAGTTCAGTCATGTCCCGCTACGCTGAATCCCACGCTCAGCCAAATGGCCCTGGCGACGTGCGCCCGACGGCCCTGCAAATCGTCAAGGACGAGGGTGCTGAAGGCAAGCTCAAGGGTGAGGTCATTGTCATCACTGGTACTTCTTCCGGTATCGGTATTGAGACCACTCGCGCCCTGGCTGCCACCGGCGCCACCCTCTTCCTCACTGCCTGAGATGTCATCAAGGCCCAGTCCGGCCTGACGGGCATTTTCGATCAATCCCGCATGGAGATCATCGAAATGGACCAGGCAAGCCTCTCTTCGTTCCAGGGCGCCGCCGCCGCAATTCTTGCCAAGACTGCCAAGATTCACCTCTTGGTGAACAACGCTGGCATCATGGCCATTCCCGACCTCCGCCTTACCGCCGAAGGCCACGAGCTCCAGTTCGGCACAAATTACCTATTGCATTTCCTCTTTTACAAGCTCTTGAAACCCGAGCTTCTTGCTGCAGCCTCCCCGAATCTACCGTCCCGCGTCGTCAATCTCTCTTCTACTGCTCACAACGTCCACGGCATAAATGACCCCGACAACTACGACTTTCAGAAAGGCGACTATGACGCCAGTGTGGCCTACGGACAATCCAAAACGGCCAACATTTACATGGCTAATGAGATAGAGCACCGCTACGGGGCGTGCCACCTACATGCAACGAGCGTCCAGCCCGGTATTGTCCAAACGGGGCTGACCCGGCACATGCCTCCAGACGCCTTCAAGGGAATGGAAGTCTTGTACCCGACAATGAAGAGTATTGAGCAGGGTGCCGCAACTTCAGTTTGGGCTGCCATCGGCAAGGCATGGGAACATGATGGTGGCAAGTACCTTGTCAACTGTGCAGTATCAGGGCCGTACGTTGAAGGGGAGAATAAGTTTATCGCGCTCGGATATGCGCCGTACGCCCATGATGTAGGAAAAGCAAAGAGTCTGTGGAGTCACTCGCTTAAGATTGTGGGATTGCCAGGCGACGAGTAGGGAACAAAGTGGAAAGCGGCACCCAGTATGCAGTTAGATATGTGATTTTATTTTGATCAGGTCACAAGATATTAGACTCCAGAGATTTACAAACCATCTGTGTTATCTTTTCGATTCATTTATACTTGTTGTGAAGGCCAGTCATCTGGTGCCATCAGTCCGGCATATCGGCTACCTACTCGGTCCAGAGAGGCGCATGGGCTCTTCTCCTCTCTTCAGTCTCCAGTAATTCCTAGCTTCAACTAAGTCATCAGACCCCTCCACTGCCCACGATCACTTGTCAAGGAACCCGGGGGTGGCCTCCCAGCTCCGTATGTCGTGTGGCTCGCCCTAAACAATAAGCCCCTTGCGGTTCGCAGTGATCTCATCTTCGTCACGTCCTGTTATGAGTGATGAGGTCCATTTATGCTGAGGGTTGGAGACGGTGATGGCGACCGGGGTACCCCGTCGCTCTCGAGCTGGTGTCATGCTCATAAGCTCACCGATGAGGTCTTGTAAGAGCTCCCAGTCGTCAAACTCCCCTTCGTGCCTAATCAGATTGTCCCGAAAGCGGGGAAAGGGAAACAGATTAATGTACACAGAATGTAACTGGGTTTGCTGAAGGCGAGTCGGGATGAGGCAGGCTGGAATATTGGGATTCAAGGGATAGACGCATGTGTCATCACGGTAAGGACCGCTGATTGGACAGGTGGTTGGAGAGGAAGGCTTATCAGTCCGGCCTGTGGGAAGCATGTTGAGAGTGCGCTTGTTCGCAACAAAAGCCCGAAAAAAATTGTACTGCACAAGATGTAGTAGGTGATTGGTTGAAAGGGGGAAGATGAAGGACGGGGGGGTCAGAGGCTTCTGGGCATCGCCTGCGGTAGTGGGCAGTGGCCCTCGAATGACGCAAGCGCGTTCAGCGGCAAGTTTTGATTCGTTTTTTGATGATGAAGAGACGTCCTGAGAGGCGTCATTGTCGGTCTCGTCGAGGCGCCAGCGTCTAACTTCAAATGGGCGCGACAATGTCTAAGAAGACATCGAGTCTTGCTCCTTCATCCGCAGCCCTGCCAAGCTTATGAGTTCATTAATTTTCGAAACTATGGCGGAAAGACTTACGGTGTGCTCTTTGGTTCTTCCGGTTTTGAAGTTTCCTCCGCTGCGTATTGGCCCTGGCCTCGACATCAGCGTCGGCGCGGTCGGCGTGACAGCCGAACCTGTTCGACTCGCGTTCACTCCCCGATGAATGACGAAAAGTACCGCAATCTGTCATTTTCCAGTGCTACCAGATTTTCAATTATATTGTGCCGCGGTAAAATCGCATTGGGAAGTACGGACAGATCACAGTTTCAAGGTATGAAGAAGGCAATGAAATAGCATGTGATTTTTATGGGACCATGGTGACCAGCAAAATTTTCATTCTGGCCATAGAAAAGAGAGGGAGATGAAGGAATAAAGCGAAAGTACAAGAAATCACTACATAGATCAAGTGATGATCCAAGAAGGAAATCGACGTTCAGCTACGTCCTGTTACATGAATAAGGGAAGCAATTCAATAAGAAGATCAGTCATTTCTGTGAGTAAATCCTCTGACTTGAAAGAAGCTCTAGCACAGAGAAGGACTGTGGTGATGAAATCAATCGTATAGGCAACAATCTTGTCTTCTTGTCACATAGCAATTAAAATGACAGAGCGAATACAGTTTAGTAGCAACTTACTTGGAAGTCCCAAAAAAACGTTCTCAAGCTTCACATGTTGCTTTATCAGTGGAGTATATTTTTCATATCAAACTTCGAATTCCTGACAAGGCTCATAGAATGATGACCAAGACGGCTGACCAACGTTCTCGACCGAATTGGCATTTTTCGTACAACCACCACTTTGTGCCATGTATTGATAGTTCACACATGATGACAGAAATGTGGCTCACCCACAGAATGGAAGAGTGATCAATGAAACGTCAGAGGTCGCTAAACGACCAAAGAAAGGCCATCAGACCTCACGATAAACATTAGTGACTGGCCCAGGAAACTTATCGGTGCATGCTAGAGATACGCAATGTGTTTCCGAGAAGTCATTTGTGAGATATAATCAAAAATCAAGCATGAATGATCAGACTATACGAGAAATAATATGTATTTCTGATTTATACCTTCTTAACTCTTTCGTATGCTCCAATTTCTAGAGTCGTATATCTTGAACCCAGTCAAGGCAGCGTAGTGATCGAAGGTGAGAGCCACTTCGAGGTTGGAATGATCCAGGAGTTCTTAGCAACCGGAAGTGCATAGTAGTGGTTCTAAACCCTTTCCAATGGTTTGACAGTCTCTATCGTCTGAAGTGGATAAGAATGCCAGTCGGAAAGCGGAATGGCTGGTAATTTTGACAGACTGCACTACCAGTGCTCATATTTCCCTGTTCAAAATGATCAATTGTAGTGTTAATGAGCAGTCTTATCAACTGGAACGATTCACTTGTCCATGCATTGGTATGCGAGACCGAAAACCCCCTCAATCATAGATGATGGTGACTTTGGCGTGATCGACCAGTCGGCGACGATTACTAGGTCAGGTCAAATGAACAATTCCCAGCATACTATTCAGTTTCCGATCCGGCGCTCTGATGGGCCGCGATTCTTGCACGAAGTGATGTTGATATTGATACCACACCAAGTCCATGATCTGAGCCGTATTGACAGCAAGAATGAAGAGTCGGTAAAGATCAACCTTTGAATCTGAATCTGATCACAAGTGACACGTACGAGAAAGAACGAGAGTCTTAGTGCCCAAAAGCACTCGCTGGCGCAGCAGCAGGTCAATTTTCACGAAAGAAAAAAAGAAGGAAAGAAATTGCGCCGTAACACCCCGACCCCGACACCACAAACTCCATGACACCACAGCACAACAACACCAAAACACCAAAACACAAACACCGAGACACCGAAACAATACAACACAATACCGAAACACACCACAAGTGCGCAAAAACTCTATGCATGAAGTCTCTTAAACGTTGTATCGACCCCCGAATGGATGATGGCCTCGACGGTGGCGTGGGCGTGGGTCGTGATGGCCAAGCACGAGGCCCAGGTGCCAGACCCCCGGAGTTGAAGAGGAACATCGAGCTTGGAGAGCTCGATAACGTGGGAGAGGAACCGGGCGGCCGCGGGGTCGAGGCCCTGGTACTCAAAGGACAAGCTGCCGTCCGGGTGTTGCGTGACGACCATGGCGGGGGGTGCATCCGTCATCTCGACATCGTCGTGCAGGAACTCGGCGTTGGTGATATGGGGCGGAGGATCAAACAGCGGGGATGCGGCTGCTGGGACTGGGACTGGGACGCCGGGGGGAGGGGATTCGAGGCTGGGGATGATGATGGCGGGGTCGGGCTGGAAGTTCTCGACGGCTGGCTCCGGCAAGCCGATCTCTGGTTCCGAGGGCTCCTCGACGACAACCTGTGGCTGGGGCTGGGGCTGCTTGAGGGCTATCAAGTTGTTGTATGTTAGCTTCATTCATTCCAAAGATCACAACCGACTACTGCTATGGACCCGATTGAACGCGATTGAACATATTTGTACAAGAGTTTGAACAAGTGAAATGAGTGAAATGAGTAAAATCACATACATTTGGAAGCCTTGGTGACATCGATTGACATGGGCTCCGGGGGCAGCAGGTGGTCGTTGTGGCGGGCATTGGCGGCGGCTCGGACAGCAGCAAGAACATGGGAGGCGGAGAAGGTGGACCCACGGCCGTTGATGAGGGAGGAGAGGAGCTTGGTGCTGGCGGCCTTGAGAGGAACGTCACGGCCGAGCCAGAGGAACATGGCCTCGGGGGAGAGGTTGAGGGCGTTGGCGGCGTTGTGGAACCGGGACACCACGTCGGCCTTGTGGGCGGGGGTCTGGGGGACTCTGGTGCCGAAAGAGAGGGAGAGAGCCTGGTCGAGGTCGTCGGCGTCGAGGTGGGCGGTGACCCAGTCCGGCCAGTCGGTGAAGGCGGAGGCATCGGCAGCAGCACGCCACCACGCAAGGTGAAGCCGGTGGAGAGCGGCGGTGACGGAGACCTTGTCGGGGTGGTTGGGGGGGAGAGACAGGAGCTCGGAGAGGCGGGAGAGGGCCGAAGCACAGTCGTACTCCATGGTAGTGACAAGTTCGGAACCGGAAGGGAACTTGGTGAAAAGTCGATTCTCTCTGACGCCAGCACGCCCCGATGTGAAAACGAAAAATCGAGATTTCAAGCAGCAAGACCGAAAAACGACCGGAAACCGACGAAAAAAGAGAACAGAAACACAACGCGAAAGGATCATGGCCGCCGAGGAATCAAGGGTAGAAACATCACAAGTCTTGGGGGGGCATATGGGGCATAAATATGCCTGGGTTCACAATGCCAGCACCACTCACTAGGAAGGAATATGCCCATCCTGCGCCTTCATACTTCGATGTCCTTCACGGTGAAATGGCAGGCGTATATGTCAAATTCGAGAAGGTGGCGTGACGGTTGCCTTGAAAAATGACATCATGGCATACAAGTGCCCAGGTCATCAGGTCATGGGGGGTCATTTGATGCCAGGCATGGCCATGACAGGAAAGAATGAAAGTTGCAACTCGGGCAGGAACGCTCAACTGGCAGAATGATGCCCGAGGGTAGGCATTTCTATGCCTGGGTGCAAGATGTCGATTGAAGTTTAAGGTACGTGGACATGGGAGATGTATGCCCCTTGAGAATTATTTCAGAGTTGTCAGAAAAGAAATCTGCCGGGGTCGAAGATGCCGACTGAAGTTGAGGTAGGGACAGTTGAGTCAGGTATTTTTATGCCCATGTTCCAGTCCCTGGGTGACACTTGGGCAGAGATTAATTGGAAGACGGTTCGTCATGTGTGTGCCTGTCATTTTGGTGCCTGTCTTTCCTGTGCCTATCCCATTGGCAATTGTCATTCAAATCTAATATTTCTGTGCCGGTCTTTCTTTTGCCTGGGATGTTTGTCCCTGTCACAGATATGCCAGTCTTGCTCCTGCCTTCCAAATACTAAGGCATGTCTGTGCTAGGGACTCCCATGCCAGGGATACTTCTGCCCGTCATGATCAAGCCCGGAATAGCTCCTTCTCTACATCCTCTTTTGATGTTAAATTCTCGGGACAAAGTGCCAGAGGTGGCGATCTCAGCTGCCTTGTTCCAGTCATGTGTGTGCCTGACTGATCCATGCCCACGTGGCTGGTGATCTGTGTCACGAGCTATGGCGCGCAGCAATGGACATATGAGGTATGGTAAAAGTGGCTTATATTAACCTAAATAGAATCGAGCAACGCGTGACAATCTGGCTCATAACAGGGATTTTCATGCCCGGGACTCTCCTGCCTGTCACATTGAAGCCGGGGATAGCTCCTTCTGCTTGGCTAATCTGTGCCCGGGTGACTAAAAATCAGATCTGTGCCGGGTATTTCTATGCCCAGGATACTCCTTCTCGTCATATTCAATACTAATACTTAGTATAAACCTCCCAGGGCTTTAACACTAAATAGAGGCACAATCTGTGCCTGGGTGACTGAAAATCAGATCTGTGCCGGGTATTTCAATGCCCGGGATGCTCCTTCCTGTCATGTTCAAGACCAATGCCCGGCACAAACCCCCCGGGGCCCCAACACCAAACAGAGGCAGGTTCGCTTAAAGTACATTACCTCGCCTTCCTGATACGAGTAATTTTATTGAAGCCTCTTCTTCACTCTTTCTTCTTTGTCGAAGACAACTTTGGGTGCGACTTCAGCTTGACAACTTCGTCTTCTCCCGGCATGCCATTCTGAATTTTCGATCAAACAAACACCACTTCTCGACAATTTTCTCAAATTCATCACCTCACAGACACCCAAAACTCAACTTTGGTAGACTACCTTTCCCCGACACCACCGACAGAGGTCAAGTGACTCGCCAAGTCCAACGTCCTGGACAACATGCCCGCCCAGAGCGAGGCTTCAATCGCCGACCCCGCGAAATCTACTACCGATCCAATCAAAGCGAGCCCGGCCACTCTCTCCGTCGCTGAAGAGGAAAGGGTCTTGCAGCTCGCCGCCGAAATCGCCGAGATTGGCAAACCCTTGGCCATTCCCCTGTTCAAAGACCCTTCCACGATGACCTCCGCCTCGCTTCGCCAGTCCCAACTGCTTTCCATCATCATGGCTGCCACCGCGACTACAAGTATCATTGCTGCCGACAACGATCGACAGCCAATCATGCAGCAGAGGGAGAGGCCGAAGCGCGAGACTCGTTAAGATACTGGGCACATGGAACGAGCACTTGAACTTTGGGGGTGAGGCATCATTCCAGAGGCAGAAGCGATCAAGCGACAGAATCTGACTATGCGGGCGGTCGAGATCAAGTACAGCTCAAGAAAGTCCAGTAGGAGGGGAGCGAGTCAAACAATCATTTAGACACCGGACGGGTCATACTGGGCGAGCTCAATGAGAATGGAGACTGTCGGGGCGAATAATAAATAAACACAACGACGGCGTCTGTTCAAGGGTTTAGCGTATCTCAGCCTAGGCGTGAAGACTTGACGCTTCACCGTCTTATACGGGAGCAAGGTGTGGTTCAAACAAGACAATGTTTTGACATCTTTCACGTAAATTAAAACTCACCTCATTCTCTCTCTCCGTTTCTCCGTTGTTACACCTATCGCTAGTAGTGATATGTGCAAAGCCCCGGTCATAAGGTGGCTACGTCCATCTTGCTTGTTACTCGGAGGGAGACCTAGGTAATCAGGATGTCAGCTCCTCATCTAGGCCGACATGCAATGGCTTGATTTTCAATACTCAAGGCCCCCTCCACCTTGTATCCAAAGTCCTTACTTGGTTATCAATCTTTCTTGGTAACACATCCTCCGAGATGAATGTGTTAGACCAATCTTATTCTCGCCAAATGCCAGCCCCCGGGTGCACATCGCGGCAAAGCATGCGGCTGAAATCTACTATTTCCAGCCACGAGAATACTAGTCAACTAGGTGTCTCCAATGAATTGAATACGCTCGTTTAGTAATGATGGCCCATGATGTTGTTTGTGCCCTAGTTCAATAGATTCCTGTGCCGAGGGGTAGTAGTGGACATGGAACTACGAGGAATTGATCAATAATGATGGGTGTGATTCTCGCCAAGCACAAAATACTGGTGTCACTCAAAATCGTGTTCTCAAATATGCTACCTAGATACATCACTCGTCATGGCACTATGGGATAGGGCATGACACGTTCTCTAATTCAGACAACATGAGCGAGTTGAATTCAAGCAGATGTGCACCAATCAAACCCCTGCGCACATCTGGTTTTGTGCCAATCGGGCAGGAGTGGGGTTCAGATGCGGTGCCACATCTTATGGCCTGTGCGTTAAGCAGATGTGCCTCCACACCTGGACCAGATATGCACGCTGTGCTGATTGGCCAAGACATGTCCAAGCCGCTTACCTCAGCGCTAGTGCCATTACCAGGACAGCTTGGGGCCCATCTACGATTTTTACGTCCATCACAATAACAATTTCTTTTACCGACGCTGTAGGACACGCACTCGACCGTGTCTCGACTACTTCCTCTCTCTGTTCCTCCGTGTTTTGTCTTGGTCATGTTAGATCTATGGGCGGAGCAAACCAGTAGCAAACAAGCCACGTATTCGTTTGCGCAAAGTGTGGCTGTCCTCATTGATTCGTCATGCGGTAGAGGAGTGGACACCGAAAAGTTTCTATGGCTCGTGTGGGATGCGTTCTACAGTCGCTGAAAGTTCGAGCCCGCTGTGCCTGATCGCCTTGACTCGAAGCTCAGTACAGCACTAAAAGCATAATGCTTTCATGCTGATGGATTAATTGGTAGTGTCGTGAATCCCAGTGCCTGTGAAAGTTTCGAGGTAAGATCACGAGCCTTCTTGGCTGGAATAACGCTGGTGTCAAAGTTCCATCATTCGGGTAAGAAAAGCAGTCGTTAGAGAACTTCGACGACGAGTGAGAAAGACGAGGGGCGGGCAGGTTTTTGTTTTTGCTGATGTGGATCGACCTGACCGAAACCGTTGGGAGCTCAATCCATTGTGCCCGTCTCCTTCTGTCAACGCCACGGGAAGGTCACCACGATAAGCTCTAGGCTATCAGGAAGAAGGAAAACGTGCCAACCGAGACGAAAACGTACCAACGCAAGAGAACGTACCGGACGCCTTAGGTCACTTTCTTCCGTTAGGCACTGCTGCAGGAATATGCCTTCCGAGAAGCCCTCAGCCGCTAAACCGCTACTTGCTGGGAGTAGGCGTTTCGGGTCGCCTGGCCTCCTTCTGCACAAGCCCGTGGAAGAGTCACCATGGCAGGACCTTCCACCCACGCTGTACTGCGCTTCATTCTCTTCGCCTGAACTCCCCACCAAAGAATCAGAACTTCCTCGAAAACGAGGATCCAGTCACCTGAATCTCCAACTTCCTTGCCTTTCCACCACGTTCGGCAAACAGAGGATTTCGGATTTTCCAACGTTCCGGCAAACAGGCAAACACTCCGCCGTCACATGCATCTCCAGCCACCTCGACGGAATGGTCGGGCACTTTGAGCATCAGGCCACGAGCGGTGAATTGCCCATCGAACCGACACCACTAGAGCACCAGCCTCGAGAGATACGAACGTCTTTGGGGCATGATTAGACTGCCAATCAATCGGTTTCTACCGCAATCATACTCGGGGAAGACAGAGGAATTGTGAGATCCGACCACCTCCTCTCGCTTCAACATCCCGACGCCACGCCCTAGCAAAGATCGCATTCTGCACTTCGCCCTAGCCCAAAGACTTCATGGCCCTGCTGATATGAATCCCAACAGCGAATGATGGCATGGTGACAAGCGATAACCCGTAATCCGTCCAGCAGGATACATTACCAGCTACTTCCTCCATCTGACATCAGCCCATCCCCCCCATTGCCCACGACGTTCCTTCCAATGCCAAGCTGCAATGTTTCAAACCCCCTAGAAGCACCCGTCCGCCTGGATGGATGGTGTTGCAACTTTCATGTCATGATGTGAAGCACCGTTTCACCCATTGATTAGTCAAGAAATTTGAGTGCAAATATTTCCGTGTCACTTCGATTCTTCTCAACGGCGTATGGTTTCCCAGCATGTTCTTCAGGCAGTCAAAATCTAGCGCAGTGAAGCTGCGGCTATCCACTGCTGAGAGCTTCACAACATCGACTGGGGAAAAAAATCTGTACGGGCGAGAGATGATATGCAAAGCGCGTGTGAATATTTTCCTTGTGATAAAGTGAGTGAACGGCCATGTTGGATCTGAATCCGCATCTCTCAACGTGGTTCGGGGTTTGGCTGTCACCAGGCTTGCTTTGAGAACGCGGAGAATGAGCCTCGATTTCCTTTTCGGAAACCTGCCCTGCGCAGGCATGAGAGATAGTCTGGCTTGTGCAAGGTCTGCTTAAAGTGTTGTTGTTAGTGGAGGTGATTTCCGTAGGGAAAGCGCAGCTCCACGTCTCACGAATACAAGGATCAATCAGCTACGTATCGCCGTACCTATTCAGGTTGCAGTTTTGGAGAGGTTTGTCGGGGTTATTTTCAGCCACAATGTACGCCCGTAATCAGCCACAATTTCATCAGCCATACCAAGTACCCAGCCACATCATTTGACCCAGGACTGCGTGTGCAAGGATTGATCCTTTGTGACCTGGGCAGGACCAAACGGGTCGGGACCGCCTCAGATAATTTCGACAACGACTTGCTATCGATTTTTGTCTGGTTGCGAAACAAAAGACTCCAATGTTCAGAGCCGGGTGCACTGCGTGCTGAGCGATGCTGTCACGGATGGGCTTTCGAGCCGCTCGAGCGTTGGTCGACGAGCCTGGCAAACGCAAGGCCACTCCCTGAATGACGCGGGCGAATTTATTCCGACAGTATTAGGACGAATTACGAGAATTCCATGCTGTGTCGCATTTGGCACCGCCTTGCAATCGAAGCTGATTTTCATGGTTGCAGCCACGGGTGGCTTGATGACGAAGATGAGGCACTAGGCGATTGAGTGCAGGGTAAGGTAGGACTTGTCTTTTGAACATTTTCTGGGCGCATTGTGACATGGGCTATGTGTTGGAATCTCAGAGTAGTAGGTACCTTTTGCAGAAAAGGTTGGATCTGGAAGGCAGCTGGGGCCCACACTTACGGGCTGCCCAGCTACCACTTCTGGAGGAACTAATTCCTCCCCCTTCCACCTCACGCGCCAGAGACCAATTCACATCCATCACATCAGCCTCGACCTGTCAACGTTGGTTGACGGAACTCAAGTCGCATCATCGCCCATCCCCATTCCAGCCATCAACGTACATCCCAACGACTCCAAGATCGCAAGCCATCTCGCACCTTCCCCGAACCTCCTGTTCACACCTCAAAATTCACTTCGCAAACCGAAAGGTCTGCCCTGCTGATGTGTGTACATAGCAACACTATCTGACGACCCGGAAACATCAAGAAATGCTCGATTTCCAGTTTGAAAGCGGTGACATGAACGGACACTGGTTGTGACAAGATGCGATCTATTCCATCAGGCGAAATCTTTGTTCTTGAGCGCATCGCTGGGGCCAGTAATATCCAACAAACATGGTGAACACCTATACTTGGCCCAAGAACTATAATTGGATGGATTGGCGTTCAGGTTGTTGTCAGGTAGGTGATAGGTACTTGGTCACCACAATTGACAAGGTGGGTGAGGTGAGGCAGCGGCAATATGGTGTGCGCGAATCACGTCAGCATTTCTGCGAGCCGACCGGAAGTCGCGTGACGGATGTTTCTCTAAGTGCTTTATAGGCATAGTCCTGTTGCACCATGCATCAGGTTCATTCATCTAAGCAGTTTATGGTCTGTTGCATTATGCACCATGTTCGTGCATCTAAAAGTGTTTGGCCTGTGCTCTAGGTCAGGTGATGTACGGGGCGTCTCCTATATCACGTGATCTGGTGGCATCTTCGCGTGGACTTGTGGCAGTGGATACATCTGGCAGTCAACAAACACACGGGCACTCAGAATGGGAAGACCGCAGCGGCGCCGGAAGGTGTTCCATCTCACCAATTCCCACCTTCTCCGTACGACCGCAACTCCCCGGTCCGTCACTCACAACGGCGACTCCACTTGCCTCCGTAAACCCATCACCACCGCGTGCAGCACCTTCCTTCAGTTGGGCCCCGGCACCTTCCCTTACGACCTCGCACAAATCTTCTCCCCAACACATCACGTCGCATTCAATTCATTTCTTTTCATTTCAATTCAATGCGCACGCACACACAAGCACGACGTGCGATCAGTTCGCCATCAATAGTTCTCTTTGGTTCAAGCTCCATCTGTACCTACCATTCTCTACATACGGCAGTAAATCCCATTAATTCCCCCCGACCTGGCACTACTGAACCCCACCACCACATCTACTTCCCATCATCTCCCACGGTTTTCCACCCGCCGCACCACCTCTCGTTGCATCACAACGACAACAACGCGTTCGCCCGCCACGGCGCTGAGAAGGAAACTTTCCCATCTTATTCACTGCTCTCATTGTGGCGCGTCAACCATCGGCGCAGCGCTACGACCCACGCGACTATACGGCGACCCGCGGCCAAACACACCCAATCCTAACCACGCCCGTCACCTCACTCATCACCCACCATGCCATCGCTATCAGTTCAAAGCTCCAGTCGTCCCACGACAATGTCAAGACCTGCGTCATCACTAAAGCCAATAGGCGTCGAGAAAGAGCTGGACAGGGAGCTCAAGTCCTTTGTAGCGGAGTTTGAGAAACATGTTGAGGGCCTCGATAAGTTTCTGGCCGCCTTCAACACCATCTGCACCACCTACGCCACTCACTTTTCGCGCGATGAGATCTTTGACCGTATGCCACCAGAAGTGCGACGATGGATAGAGACGCTGGCGCACTCCAACAACAATCGGATCCAGAGACTCGCCGTTCGCGCCGCCTTCAATTGGAATGTCGACGTCAACGTTGTTGCAACCGCATTCGCTGATGTCAAGAGTCGGCGCTTTTTCGAATCCATCCTCAAGCTCTCCACCCATGCCGACTGGCCCACAGCCCTTCGACTTCTACAAGACGCCAGACACCACCGTATCAATGGTGATCCACAACAAAGGATTTCAAGCACCCGTGACTGGGCGCCCGCCGATGCTTGCCGCGCCCTGAGCAACCATCTCCTCGCCGATTCCATCTTGGTTGAGTCGCCACCAAGACCGCCTCAGCAGCACGAGCCCAAGCCTGACACCGCGCAAAAACCTGCGCCTAAGCCCGAACCTATCCCTCTCGGTCCCAAGAGACCCAAGCTGACGCACGGCGACATTAGCAAGCAGTGTAGTTTATCTCCAGAAGAGCCGAGGCGCGAGCCCGCCAAATCGCTATTCGAGGATCGTAGCGTGTTCGAGCCTCTGCACATGGGCGATTCGCGGGGCAGCATCAGTCCTCTTAGGAAGGGCAAGGCACAAGTGACACAATTCTCCCCCCTCATTTCTCGCACATCCAAGCCGCTCATCGCCTCCGACCCAAGCACCAACGTCAGCAAAGACGGCGACTATTTCCCTCCTGATTCATTCTCCGACGACGACATCCCCAGTCCTATTGGCAAGGGGAAAGATGCAGTTCGTACAACTTTTCTCCCCCGCTCGGGCGCCCGCAAACGCAAGTTTCGCCAATCCCAGATAGCCAAGGCCACCCAGCACGTGGAGGATGATGCAACCCTCAATTCTGCCCTACAAGGCGAGGTGGACAACGATGATACACGTTTCGATAGCGGCTTGGGCTTCGCTAGCAATGGAAATGACAACAGCTCCAGCGACGGATCCAACCATGGCGATGTGGACGAATCCGACCTAGAGGACGACCAGAGCCTCGGGCTTAACTTTTCTTTTTACGATCACAATTCCCCTGTTGGCGAAGCCGACGCGGGCACTTCTCTCAATCTTCCGCCAGGCTCAAAGACCATCACCGCTGAGGGACCAATTGCACCAGTTCAAGATCCTTCTCAAGACGCTCCAGAGTCGCACAGCCCTCCGCCAGCGATCGCACCCGTCCCAGATACCCCCCAAAGCACACCAATGCCAAACCATGATCCGGAGGTGATTGAAATCGGCTCAGACATCATCCAGGGCAATCAAGAGCCCAGCGGTGATCCGGCGACAGTCAAACCAGCCGCTGGTGTCCTCCAGGGCCCCACAACAAGACATAGGGCAAGGCTGGTCAGTCTGGTCACCATGGCAGGTGTTGGAGACTCGCTTGCCAAGGGCGTTATGCTGAAGGACCCGCCGTTGAACGCGATGCTCCAGGTCATCGCCGACAGTTTCCCGGGAGCGATGTCTTTGTCAAGCCTCAGCGCTAATTGGGGCACGTTCTCTCCCCAACATCTCGAGCAGATCGCGACCGCCCAGAAGCTTCTGGTCCCATTGCACCTTGAAACACACGTTCACTGGGCTTTGGCCGTATTGACACCAAACACCAAGAGGATCGAGATCTTTGACTCGCTGTCGTCCAACGCCCACCATGCGGATACGGAGAGGCGCATCAAGAAGCTTATCCCGAGAGCATATCCTAGGGAGACGCCACAGGATTGGAGGATCATTCGGCAGGGTGCCATTCAGCAGCGAAATGGCGTCGACTGCGGTGTGATGGTCTTGGTCCACGCAATGCACTATCTAAGCCGCACGATGCTGCCCGAATCCATCAACACTGACCTATGGAGGGATGTGTTTCGCGACACTTTGGCAACAATGCAATGCAAGATGATGGACGGACAGTCCGCGGCGCGAGACACAGCCTTTCTTGGTCCAGTACCTGTCGCCGCCATGCGCTCCCTCGGCAGACCCCCTACGCCCATGCCACACAGGATCCAAAAAGAAGCTGGCGAAAGCGTTGGTTCCATTTACGACGCACTCGAAGCGCAGAAGAAGGTCATCACCCTGCTAATGAAGGAGGCCAGCAACAAGCTCTCCGATGGCTTGGCAGCCTCCCGGGCTACCCTTGATGATGTCGACGACGCCACATCGCTCCTCGAGCAGTTTGAGCGTGAAGCGGCATCGGTTTCGGCGGCATCGAAAGCGAAGGAGGTGGATACAAAGAAGGATACGATTCAGTCTCAGATCCAGCGCGAAATCGATGCGCGCCGACTCGTCCTTTTGTCTTTGAGGAACGTCCCCAACGTAGACGAGAACGACATTCGGACACAAGAGACTAAGATTGCGGAGCTCGAGGCGGAGGAGTCACGAGCGAACACGAGCGAAGAAACAGAGACCGAGTGGCCGGTGACTTCTTTGGCGAAGGAGTACTTGGCATGGAGGAAGCATCTCGTTACTGAGCGAGTGGAGGAATGGAAGCAGGCGCTGGATGAGGTGGATCGACGCAACAAGGAATGACAAAATCTGATATGCTAATACGAAATGATCATCAACTACTTGGACGGAGCTTAGCGTAATGGGATGGGATGGGACTGCAGCATCATCATCACATGGACCAATAGCCAGCTTCAGGTAGCCACATAGATACCCAATGACATGCGCAAACATGAATTTCGACACCCATCAAATCACGTCTGAGCTCATGGCTGTGTCGAGAGTACTTGTTTTACAGGTGACAGAACATGTCTGGTAGGTTCAGCCAGAGCCATCCTTGGCTTCTGGTATGAATGTACGAGGGCCCGTGAGTAATCATCATGCGGCCGGAAACTTAAGGTCAAGATGAAAATATCCGATTAGCTCAAACAGTCCGTTCTTACCAGTATATCTAAGATGCCCCTAATAAAAATGCCAAATACTTGATGTCACAGAGACTTGACTACCATCTACTCGTTACCAGCACCTGAAGAGCGAAATTGCGCTAATTTGAGCATTTCGACGTCGCAAAAACTTTCCGACTTCTTATCAATGCGCAGTCATGACTCAAGTCGAATTTTTTCATCGGAAACAATATTCCACGAGCAATGAGTGCTCATCATGAAGTGGCCAAGGCCTCACAGATGAATATTTCTAACTTCTAATACAACCTACCGCACATCATTGCCAGTTCATCCAAAGTAAAATAGTTCTAAATGCTTGAAAACTAGAAGTTTCGGACTTTTTCAAGTGAGGTCAATTACCGTATCAAGCGGCTTTGGACCGTACCTAGAATGTCGATAACTCCGGGAACGAATACGAAGGCGGTAAGATAGACCACATGCACCATACATACAGCACACAATATCGAGCTTGCCCAATACGAGTAAGCAGTTCCACTTACGGTAGCTTGACTGGCTGAAGACTAGTACAAAGTACTGGCTTCGCTCAGTCCCTCAAGACCGCCCTGTTCATTTAATCATAGAAGCGGACAGAAGCATGATCGTCACCTCTCCACCGACAGGTAAGAGCCACTAAAAGGCCGGCGAGTGTGTCATTAAGGGAATCTTGGAACCAATTTGTATCTGGATAGATTCAAACAGTCTTTGCAAATTTCATTCCACGTAACCGCACAACCCTGCCGCGGCTGACGAGAGAAGTTAATGGTTGTCCATCACTTTAGCTTTGAAATTCGGGTACGTGAGGGATGAGCAAAAGCTTAATCAAGCGCACAAGGAAAAAAATCTCCGTCAAGGCCTTTGATAAGTTCCCGGGATACCTAATCAAGCCTAATCTTGCGGTCGAGGTATAAGAGGCCGACTGCCATAGTACTTGCACCGAGAATATGCATGATGCGACATCAAAATTCTTAAGCACACCTGCAGCAGTATCAAGCTTTCATCGAAATGGAGGCTCCTCATCGCTTACGCAACGTTCTGGATGTTCTTATCATCGGAGGAGGACCTGCTGGATTGTCGGCAGCCTTGGCCCTTGGACGTGTTCCCCGCAGTGTAGCTGTTTTCGATTCTGGCCGATACCGCAACAGCTACAGCAGCCATGTTCACACCGTTGCACTCCACGATCATCAAGACCCGACCCAGCTCAGGGACGGCATTAGGGATGAACTCCTACAAAGTACAAGGCGGTGACCCTTGTGCGAAGAGAAGTCTAAAGTTTGAGAAAGTTGAGACCAATACAAATGTCTTCCTCCTCGTCGACTCTGAAGGATAGTCTTGGAGCGGCCGAAAAGTTATTCTTGCTCTGGTAAAACAGAACATTCTCCCTGATATCTCGGGATTCCGTGGAGATTGGGGGAAAGGGATGTGAGTTGAAGGACCTCTTTTTTCGTTTCCCTTCCTCCTTCCTGTCGCTTTCTTTTTCTCCAGCTCTGACTCGTCTGGCAGGCAGTATACACTGCCCGTTCTGCCGTGGATTTGAGGAATCGACGGAAGGTACAGCCAGAGTGGCTTTCCTCATTGCAGGTGAAGTCACAGGGGACACAACGGAGGATTTCCTGTTCTACTCCCAGCTTCTGTCACAGTTCACATCTCGGCAAGTGTGTTTTATTGAACGGCCACGCTTCTCAACCATCCCATGCGAAGCTTTCAGCCATGATACTATCCAACGGACTACACATTGAAGACCGGAAGATTCGTGACCTACATCACGTGGGACCTCTTGCCCAGACAGAGGTCTGGTTCTCCGACGGCTCACACGAGCTCTATGACTGGATCTTTCATAAGCCACAGGCTACAATCACTGGAGACATCGCATTGCAGCTAGAATTAGAAATGTCCTCGACAGGCGATATTGTGACTTCCTCACCCATGCAGCAAACAAGTTGCCCGGGATTTTTTGCTGCTGGAGATTGCTCCACGCAAATTTCTCAGGTGGCAGTTGCCATGGGCGCTGGCGTGAGTGCTGGAATCGGGGCGAATGCTGAACTTGTAATTGAAGATGCTGAGGCCGTATTCGAGCAGTAATACGTCAAAATTCTAGGCATCATCATGGGCTTTGTGTATATAAATGTAGATGCAGTCACTCGATTTGTATAGATGAATAGAATACGGCGTATTGTGATTCATGGGCTATACTTCAAGAACTGGAATGTCAATGCATGTGATCATGAGAGTGAGTCGTGAGTCGTGTTATCCTTGAAGTCAGGTTTTTCAAGTTTGTCAAAACATTTTCAATTTGTCTGCTGCGTTCGAGGCTCGCTATTACCCTTGTGACTACCTCTCCAAGGAACTGTATGTGGAATCTCGGATCCCCGTTAAGCAGCGCTATTTTCCTTGTCGACCAGAAACGGTTGGATACGAGGAGGACGTGGCCAGGCAGCGGCAGCATGCCCTCAATGAGAGTTGCCTTTGTGATATCGCCGTGGCGCTCATTATCGTAGTGTTCGGCGGCCTTGGCTAGAATGCGAGAGAGGGCCACGAGGCCGTTCCTGAACTGAGGTACCAACGCACTGTACAAGCTGATACGAGCCATTTTGTTCGGTGGCCGCGGGAGAGCAAAATAATGCCGACTAGTACAAGGATGAAGGGCAGATTTGATGACCGGCCATTGATTCATCGGCACACATACTTTTATATCCATCTCCAAAAGCTGCCATGTCAGCATCTGGTGTCTTTTCACTGTGTAATGATAAAATCTGGGACTGTCCGTAGCGTTACTAATTCATCACATTCGGACACTTTTGCACGCGCGGACCCCGGCGCCTGCGTTCACGGCAGAGAGTGTCCCAGATCTGACAGCCAAAGTACGTTTGCTTCTAGTTGAAATCCGCAAACTAATCTGATAAGACAGGTTTTTCTCGTGACGGGCTCTAATGCAGGTTTGGGAAAAGAAGTCGCCCGGATTCTGTACTCCAAAAACGCAACCGCGTCAGGCTCTGAAGCGATCGACTCGTTGCAAAGTGCATATGTTGTTGGGGAACGCGAAGAAGTAAGGTAGACCGTTATCATGGGCAATGTTCAAGATCATTTGGTGGCCCAGCCGATCAATTGCGAGACATGGCGATCAATTGACCGGCGGGCGGGAGGTGCACAGCAGCGTGATTGTCGAGATGGAATCTTGGAAGACCTGGGAAGAGCTTCAATGTGAATCGAATTGAGTAAAGCAGGAAAAGCTCCCAGGCCAAGCGTGGCTTCGAGGTGGAAGTAGGTACCAGGCCAGCAAGTGTCAAGCAACAAGTATTAACTCTCGGGGTAGGCGTGCAATGAAAGCCGATCGACGGATATCGCTGGAGAACAAGACACACAGTGGCAGGTAAGTTGCGGTGTGTGCAAGGAGGCAAACATTCTCACGTAGATCTTCATGGTAGCTGAGATTCCGGATGGTGTTGACACAGCAGCACGAGGGTGCGTGGTATTATCGTATGCTTACTCTCGCAGTGTGAAGAAATCAGAGAATGCTACCTGGCTACCTTACCTGCGGTGCCCTGCAAGCGAATTTGAACATGCAAGAGATAGTCACAGTCATACATACAGTCACGCCTAATCTCTTTGCATGACCGACACTTTGCAGTCGCGCCTGATCACTTTACATGACCGACACTGTGCAGTCACGCCCAACTTTGCGTTTGTAGGTCACGCGAGCTGTCACCTTGATGGTCTCCCGTCCATCAATGATCCAGAGACGGACTACGGAATACGTACTCTCGAATCTCCGCCCGGACCATAGACCTCAGGCACCACCATTTGGACCCCTTTCCCGTCCCTTCCCCAAGACGGCAAGACCTGTACAGGTACGATGTACCTTCCCATGCCAGGCACAACTACCTTAATTAACCCCCACTGGTTACCAAGAACACCACCATTGCACCACCATCGACCCCAGGGCACAGTGTAAACCTCGACACCACCCACAACAACCTCACTCTATCACACATTATGCATCGCGCCCCAGCACTGCGAGACGTCGGGTGCTCTGATGCAACAAGTGTCTGTACTCCATGATAGGGCGGAAGTTCTGCAATGCTGCTCAGAGTAATTCTGGCGGAGATTTCGACAGTCAGGACACAACAAACGACGCTACACCTCTCCTCGGCAACGACATGCTCGTTCGAGCCACCGTGAGATCCTGCATGGGCTATCCAGCAATGGCGATGCAAGACAATTCTTAACGACGGAGAATCTGCCAAAGCGATCACCGCAACCGTAAAATGTTGTGACGACCAGTCCTGCTTATTCGCCGGGGCCGTGGCCGACGCTTCAAGCTCGATCCAAGTTTTGAAAACCCCCGTAACTACTTAGGTACCTAGACTGAGGTGCCGCAGACATTAATGGGGAAAGTGTCTCGAGTAAAAAATTGAGAACACCAAACAAACAGAGGTTACTTTCTTGGAATCAAGATGGCGTGAACAACGGAAGGGGAGGTAATGGCAACAAAGCGCGTGGCTAAGGTAAGGCAGAAGACAACCTGCAGGCAAACGGCGGCAAACAGACGACGGAGGCAGGTGCTTGGGTACGTATCTCCAGTGGGGCGAGTTTCCATTTGTAAGGTACAGGGCGTACGAGGTGGTTGCTGCCGTTATGGATGGAAGACGATGACGTGTCTGTACTCTTTCCAGCTCGGAATTGGCAAGTCAAGCAACTTCCGTTGGGACAAGATTTCTGAAGCAGACGCATGTTTCTGCCCTGAGATGCAGACGGGAGGTGTTTGTGAGAAAATGTCAACGTGCTACCGGGACAAGACAAGACGACACGGTACCAGTGACCACTGGAGTCTGGAGCTGGAGCTGTTCAATCAGACGAGATGTCACTGTAGCCTTTTGATTCGCTGCCTCGGATAACGCGTCTGTGTTCCTCATCGCCCAAGGGAAGGCAAACTTGGCAACAAACAGCTTGGTCGCATCTGGCGTTGCAAACACCAAGCCAAATCTCATCAGACAAACATCAATTGACAATCAATTCAAAATTGCGAGGGCGACAGTCAATTGGTAGCTGAGCGTGGTCAATCACTTGGGACGGATGCAGCAGGCCAGCGGTGCTCGATTGCAGTGCAGAACCACGCACGAGCAATGGGTGGTGGTGTTTATGTGCCAACCACATTTCGTACCATACACAAAAGTGCAAGGGAGGATGTGTCACTGATTGTTGGATTGTGGCAGAGATGTGACAACGAGGCACCCAAGCTATCTTCTCCCCGTTTGTGTTCCTTTTTTTCGACTTTCCTCATTCCGTCTCTTGCCTTGCCCAAAGTGCGAACCCGCGACTTGCGTGCCGTGGGGACGTTTCTGGGTAGGTACGTACGTATTTGGGGATCAACCTCCTGCCGCCGCCGCCGCCCTCCCGTAACGCAACTGCCAAGTCGCAACGGAAACGGGAAACATTTCGAGAAGGAGAGTACTTGATAAGTTATGTTAGGCAGCAGGTACAATCGACACAGTCTGTGGACTTTCCGCCCCCCCAGCACGAAACAACCAACCTAAGGACACAAACGGCACTTCTTCCACAACTCCATCACATTTGGCTGAAGACTACCAATCTTACAGCTCACCCCAATACTCCTGGCAATACTGCTTCATCCACTCGCTTCTCTTTTCGCCCGATTTGCGCTTTCGTAGTGCCAGGAAGACATCCTTGGCATACCTCGCTCTCAGATCAGGCCTTGTCAACAGACTACCCGCATCGATCGCAAGCCGTCGGAACGTCATCTCCACTTCGACATTTCCTCCTTGGCCCTCCATGCCATGCCCCAGCGCTGCTTGCCGTCGGACATGATTGATAACCCTGTCCCTCTCTCGTACCGCGTCGTGATCGTTGTCTGGGGTAAGTCCTGATCCACGCCCGCCGAAAGGGGAAGCCCCGCCAGCCTCCTGAATGATGGCTACAATCGCGTCTGAGACAGTGGTTCGAAGTGCATTTTCTTTGCCAGGTCCTTTCGGCTCCCCCTTCAAGATGGCTTCAGCATCGATATGGAGAAATGTGAGGACATCGATGGTGCCGGATACGGAATCAAGGTCGTGGATACCCCTGTGAACACTGCAAATGTCCATCTTGGCCTGGTCCTGTACTTTGGGGATTACTTTTGGCATTAGCTTGGCGCCATCTCCAGCACCACCACCACCAGCCTTGCTACTGCTGTCGTTGGTGCCGTCGGTGCTTAATGATCCACGGATGCTGAAACCGACGCCACAGCCGACGGTAAATAGCCACACAAGACATGCGGCAACGCAGGGTAGGAATAGCCGATGATTGTAGCATTCGCTCAACTTGTCCCAGATTTCCTCGTGCACCTTCCGCTGGGCCGCCTGAGCTTCTTCAGCCTCTTGAGCCCTCTGGGTCCTTTGGCTCAGTCGTGTGCTCCTTCGTGGTGGTGCCATGCGTGCTCATCCTGGTATGGGATGCATAGGGTGATTATCTAGAAAAATTTACAAAGATGCGAGAAAGTATGGGTGGGCTCCTCGATATCTGCACCAAACTGGTACAAATATAATCAGTAATTCATGTCCAGAAGCTTCATCATCTTGGCCCAATCCCAAAGACATGGCGTGGCTTGCACCAGAAGATTCATGCTTTTTCTCTCTCCTTTTTTCCAAACGTAAGATCATAAAGAAATTTGAAACTTCCGAATGTGTATCTGATCCATCTCAAAATCCATCATCATGTAATTGGCGAAAACTGACGAGAAGCACCAAAGGTTGTCGCCATCACACATGAACGGGAAACACCAGACGAGCCAAAAAAAAAAAAAAAAAAGATTGGTTGGTTCTCAGCTGGTCTAGAGGCTAAAATAGAACTCCAATCTGTGACTCAACCTAATCGTGACAGAAACAACCATTGTCTGATTCTTTGACGCCTGAAGTAATGCCATACCCCTTGTGTTTTCGTCTTCCTAGGCAACACATTGGATCTTGATGCAAATCCGCTGTGAAAGCTTTGTGCACTCTTGAAGGCAGTTCGAGCCTAGTCTCGCGTTGATCTTTTGGAGCTTGAGAGTCTCTGTTTTGAAGTATTAGTATGTTTCGACTGAGTGTGAAGGAATTACAAACGAACAGTCGCAACTCTTCTGTTGTCTTCTTGGTATTTCTCTGCACTACCTCACGTCACTTTGGAAACCCTCTCAGTCAATAATACAGACTCAATCATCCTTTCCTCCGTCTCTCTCTCTCTCGCTCTCTCATGCCCTTTTCTCTTGAGCCAAACATCACGCGATTCCCCAAAAAAGGAAAAAAGAAAACATCTACTTGACGCTGCACCACATCAATACTTGTCCGTGATGTCTTCGGCACGAGGTTTCAACATCAACAATATTTCGCGGGAGAGGATTCGCCGACATCTTGCGAAAAGGCAGGCACAGGAACCTGACGAGGGTGGTAGCTCTACCAATGATGGTGCTTCAGGTGAGATGACGGCACGTCACATGTCATAGATCCGCGACAAAAGCTAACCCGCTGATATTCCAGCCCGTCAACTTTTACCAACGGCGAGCTCAAGTGATGGTATTATTGCCAGCGGCAGCGGAAACACTGCCCAACCGTTGGTGAAGTTGCCAACTCCCCCTATGGGCACCGTCAATTATCCAGTCTTACCCCGGCAGACCTTAACCAACTTCAGAGGCAACGTTCAGATCAACAATCATACCAGCAATACCAGCAACAACAATCTGTATTTTGGTAGCGGTAGTCAAGCAACGATACGTGAGGGAACTACCCAGATGAGCCAAGGTGCCAAAGTCGTGCGTCTGACGACAACCTGGTCTCGTTGTCTCCAAGTGCTGGAGCCGCCGGAGGAAAAGACTCAAGTCTGGCACTGGGCCTGGTACTGGGGCTGGTCAGGGCTTACCAAGGCCTTCAGCTTGATGTGGACCGTCTGGATAATATTTCTCGCTCCCGCCGCCAATGTCGTAGCGGGTTGTCTATGGCAACCCGTCCAGTCTGCGGTCACCATGGCTCTTGGTCTTGCAGTGGTCATGTCTCTCGTCTACTTTGCCTGGCAGTGGTTCTCGCTTGGCGCCATGATTGGCTTCGCCACGCAGAGCTTCACTACAGTCTCATGCCTCTACACGGGAGCGGGAGCATGTACCGGCGGATGGGTCCAACAACACTCTTCTTCCCCTTTGGGGACGGGCAGCAACTCGTTTGGGGGGGGCGTCGGTGTTGGCGGCGGCGACGACGACGTCATACTGGCGCAACTGGAAGACACCATGCACAAGCACAAGCCCGTTTTTCAGCAAACCGACGTCTCCAGGGCCGTTCTGTGGGATATTGTCGTGACGCACGCCTGGCTCGAAGAGCGCTTTGGGATGAGTTCTCGCGTGTGTCTCGTTTCGTCCACAACGGACGTTAACCACACTGGTCTGGTAAAGCCATCTGCAGAATCGGCTGAATCAGTTTTCCACAGTTTTGCTGCCTTGGAAAGTGCCGTTGACGAGCAATGGCCCAGGGCCGTGTCCTCACTCCTACACTCCGCCGTGGCAAACAGCCGCTGGATCCGAGACAATCCGACCCGCGTATTTGTGAAGAAAAGTTGGTTGGCTCGCACGTGGTGGCGGTGGTTTCAATGGGGAAATGAAGGTGATGCCATACAGCACTCTCCGGCGGCATACCGAGAAGCAAACAGACGCATCCAGGAGGCGGTGGATACCGTTGCACAGGCGCTCCAAGACGTGGCAACGGTTGTGCTTTCGATGGACAGGGGTGGTCAAGAGGAGACTAACACATCAATATCTTATGCACAGCTGGTCAGGAAGACATGCGGATGGTCTTCCGAGTTGCGGCACTGGAAGCAGGAGTTCCCTGAGTATGCTCTCTTGATCGGGGGGAAACCAACAGACACGGGCGAGGGGGGAGGCGAGCAACCAGAATGTAACGAATCCAACAAAGCCATGATACCGCATGCTTCCAAGGTGAACAGCATGCTGCAAAGCTCCGCCAACGAGGCCGACTTTCTTTGCCATCGTGTCAAGCATATAACGCAGGGCCGGGTAGATCAACGGAGGAATGGTCTTCGACAATACACAGACGAACTCAAACGGCTGATGGACCACACCACACGGGCCAAGAAGCTGGCAGACTCTGTTGAGGAATCTGCCGATATCATTGCGGATCAAATCGACAACAAGCTTCTTTCGTTGTACAAGCGTTTGCCCGAACTGGTTCACGCTACGTTCAACATTGAAGATACCACCAGCAGCGGCGGCAGGGGGGGGAGACATTGATTCACACAAACAGTCCATGGTTAGATTTCGACACCCACAAGGGCGAAAGAATAGGTAGCTAGACAAATGGAGGACAGACAGATCTGCGCAGGTACAATGAGAGAATACCGTCCGAAATCCTCGGTATCACCATACCCAAGTCCGAACCCCAGTAGTGACGACGTCCCTCGGTAAGAATGCTGTCCACCTCCGCCTCGACTTCGGCTAGATCCGTAAGTGCTTGGGCCAGATTGATGCGAGCACGCTCCCGACTCTCTCGAGAGACGACGGGTGTACCGGAGAGGGAGCTCGCTATGCGCGCGTCAAAAACCTCTTCTTGGATACGTAGGACTGCGGCACTCCTGAGCTTGAGCTTGGCAAAGGATGATGACGGCCGCAGCGGCGAGGTCGACAACGACCCTGAAGCTGGGGCTGAAGGTAACAATGCAGCAGGACGGGGACGGGGACGGGTACTCTGGAATGCTGTCGCCCTTGTTGTGGCCAATGCAGTCGGTGGTGACGACGACGACGGCAGCTCCGACACCAAAGCCGAGGGTGGAAGAAATGGTACAGCAGGACGAGAACGAATGGTTCGTAATGCTGTTAGCCTTGTTGCTTCAGTTTCCAAGGCAGGCTTGTAGACGTTTTCCAAGTGTGTCGCATCACGGTCCAACTTGGAGGCTGACTTGGAGGGGGTATGAGGCGGAGAAGGAGGCGGGTCCCGATTTGGGTTCGTGCTGTTCCGAGTCTGGTTCGTGAGTCGTGCGGGTATATCGCCAGCCTTGGGTTGCTTCTGCTGATGGTTCCAGTCTCGGACTGTGGCTTTGGCAGTGTTGTTTTCAGGGAGTAGACTTGAGAAGGGGTTAGAAAACGGTACTGTATCCCGGTCTTGGAAAATGACTTTGGCGCCGGTATTGTCGGGAAGTCGGATCGACAAGGGATTGACTTGCGACAATGCATCCCTTCCTTGGACTAAGGCTCTGCCATCAGCTCTATTGGAAATTCGAGTCGTGAAGGGATTGAGTTGAAGCAAGGTGTCCCGGTCCCGGTCTGCGGCTGCGGCTCTGACACCAGTGTCGTCGGAAAGTTGAGTCAAGAAGGGGTTGGATGATGGCAATGCGTCCGTCTCCAGTGGAGGCGAGGGAAGTCTCACTGGGCCAACACGCGGTTGAATGAAGGTACTGGTATCGGGTGCATCTTCCATGTCAATGTCCATATCGATGTTGACGTCCGGTCCAAAGTTCGCGCTCGGAAACCCCTGCTGCGGCGGCAATCTCGCTTCGCGACCAAGTATAGCTTCGGCTCGGGCGGTAGGGGTCCAAGTCTGGTTCGATCTGAGAGGCGTCGGTTCGTCGCATCGCTGGAGGAACGAAAGAGGTAGAGAAGGAGAAGTATTTTTGTTCTGACCAGTGACTGGTGCAGACGAAGTAGCAACATCACTGGCAACTACAGCAGTGATGGATTTGGCAGACTTGGCACTGGCGAGAGTGGCGGATTTCGCAGCGGGAGGAGCGGGCGGAGTGTCGTCTCCGATCCAGTCGGGCTTCAACCACGCCTGCATCCACTTGGGATACCTGACGGCAAACACGGAGTGGTTAGCAATGAACTTCTTGGCGCGCTGCTTCTGGTCCTCAACTCACTTCCAGATAGAGTCCTTTGGACCTCCATCATCCTCGTCCACGACGACAATCTCCTCATGCGGGGTGTAGGGTTTCTTCCGAAACTTTCCGGCACGGCGCTTCACGGCATCCTCGATTTTGTGAAAGGTGTACTTCTCATGAGCATCGCCGGTGCAGCCTAGATCATCATAAAGCTCGCGAATCTTAACGTGGGAGAGCTTGGGGACTACGCCGTGTCGAACAATATGCTTGTCGATAAGCATGCGGTGGTGTGTGTGATAAGTCAGACGCGACATATGCGGTCCTATCTTGATTCCATTGAAGCGCTACGAAATCTGTCAGATGCGGACAAGTTACCCGAGACATCAGGTTGCGACCGGTGAGATGCGTTGGGAAACCATGAACTCTCTAGCCTGCAATTACAACATGCGAGGACATACTTGTGGTGCAGGAGTCGGGAGCGGGACCCAAGTAAGGAGATGGGTGCAGGACTTGAGCACAGGAAAGTAGTAGAAGAGGAAATGAGATAGGCGCATGAGATTAGGATCTGGGGTCCAGGCGCGAAAAGCAAACGAAGAGCAGTGCATGAGAGGAGACTATGAGGGTGAACAATTGGAGTGAAGGATTAGAGTGAAGGGTGAGAGTGAAGGGCCAGAGTGACGGAATAAAGTGAAGGCTGAGAGCGAGATGTGAGAGTTGGTGCGCGAAGAACTGGCTTTCCGGGCACAACATGTAGGCGGGATATCGTCAATCTGCTTGGTGCGGTACTGCCTTACCTCTTCGTCCGTGATGCCCGCAAGAGAGGCCATATTAGGTACGGAAATGAAGCTGGAAACAAAGCCGATACTTGGAAGGTTGATTTGATCGTGGTTTTGCTGTTTTCATGCAAGTCCCAAGACGGGGGGAAAGGTGTCCCAGCCCGGGAGGAAGGAGAAGATCAGCTGAGTCGATGAAAATGATAATGCTGATGATGACGATGATGACGGAAATATGGAAAGACCAGTGAGCTCAAGGTAGTCAGGGGAACACAGAAGAATATAGACTTCAGGACATGGAAAAGAGCCGACGCCTCAACGCCATTTCAATGAGGGACGATGCTCATTTTCTTGAATCTCGTAATGCACGCTATACTAGATGAGACATGAAGAAAACGGACTGCCAAAATCCACCCATCAGCATATCTCAAGCGCCCATCGATTCAATTACCAACGTCGGATAGTCACGTGAACTCGCCTGCATCACTGCCACAGCATGACCCACGAAAGAAGGTAATCTACTCGTTTCCACCAACAGCGTATACTGCTTTGCATGGACCAATTCACTTGGATTTTGACGAAGTGATCAGTTTCGTGACACATGGAGAAGAACAGGATGTCCACATCCACTGATCTGTCCCTTTCTTCAATCAGGAACCACTGGCTCCGGATGACTACATGAACATTACTGCAAGAATGCGGCTGCACGAACACGCCCATGTAAGCGCGGCGACATGAACTGCGAACACGATGCGGCTGCACAGCAGAGACTCTTCGTTTGCCAAGGCGAGAGCCACTCACTCTGTTGAAGTTTTTGACGACACACTGGATCACATAATGCGTGAAGCAAACGTGAACGAACAGTAACCCACATTCTGACAACAGATTGAACTAGACGAGACATGAAGGAAACAAACAGCAAATCTCTATCCACCCATCAACCCATCTACTCAATCACTAAACCCAGACTCCCAAACAAGCACGACCACATGAACACCGCTGCTTCGAGCCGTTGCATGAATACCGCCGCATGAACACGACACTCTCTCAAGCGGGACCGTGCTGAGAACTCATCTCCCGTTTTGCTGATCTCAGTTCGTCCAGATGAAGCTGCAGCTCAAGAAGCTCGCCCTCGAGCTGGAAGACCTGGTAAACGGCGGGCATGAGTCGCTTGCGTTCGGCAGCTTTCTCCTCGACAGTCGCAAGCATCTCGTCGAGGCGTTTGTCAATCTCAGCCAGCGACACTGTTGAATTCCCTCCACCAATGCCACCGATGTCGCTTCCACCTTTGCCGATTGTCGTCGCTGCGTGATGTCGTTCCATTTCTCGTGACGCGGCCGTTTCCTTGCGTCTCGCAGTGCGCTCGGCACCTGCTCTGCGTTGGGCCTTGGATGAAGTCACTGGCGTTGTAGATGGCGATAGGGCTGGTGACTCCGCCCTGGTCGCATTAGTGTTGTTGCTTCGATCAAAGGTAAAGCTACCAAAAATGAGTTGTCTAGACGGTGCTGGGGTATGACGAAGCTCAGGCATCACGACTGCAGCTGGTTGAGGTGGAAGCGGTTGTGGTGAGACCTGAGCAAGTCGCTTCTGCACCTCGAAATCGCGTTCAAGAATGTGGCGGCTCCGGCTGCTCAGGCGACCTTGATCAGTTGGGAGAATGAGGTCGCTCACTGCCAACGATGACTTGGCGTCGCCTTCGTCTACATCATGCGCTCTGTGACTGCCGCCAATGCTGCTGGAATTCGAATACAAGTCTGCAAAGATCTCAGGCATCTCCTGGGAGACGACGCATAGAAAGCCTTCCTGGACGTCGGATAGACTGCCCTGACCTAGCATGCCTTGCCTGTTTAAGAGCTCCTCGACATATTCCTTCCTCATGATATCGTACGCCGCTCCCTTGCAGCGGGCTGCAGTCTTGCTATCTGCAGGAATCTCGAAATATTCGGGTGCGGCCGCTTTTAGATCAAGGAGCCAGTCGGATTCATCCCTAGGTATGGAATCCTCATCCTCATGGAACTGCTTGAGGATTCTACCAGCTCGCTCGAGGGCGCTATGCGTAGAGTCGCTGAGCATAGTGAAGAGCGATAAGGGGAAGTATTGCTGGTGGAGGTGTTGAATTTGGGGCAGTACAGTTGCAGGAAATGTGAAAAGTCAAGATTCGTCGCATGCACTTGATCCTTAATGAAATGAAGAGCAATTCTCGGCTTCGGGATATAAATAAACGATTGACACAAAAGCCAATATTGTAGCCAAGAGCAGAGCTCGTGACAATGGCTGGGCAACCGGCAGTCCAGATACACGGCACAAGCAGGAGACCATCAAAGTTCCGTTTTCAGCTCCATACCAAATGATCGGCACAGTCTGCCGTGGATTGGACCATCTCTCTCTTCTAGACCCTGCAGAGGCACCGAGCGGTGCGGATGTAGTCAGTTCATCTTAAGATTGGACGAACTGCGGGATCTTGCGCCGGCTTCTAGAGCCGCCTGTGTGCATGAACCAGTCAATCTGCACAGCTGCATGAACTGTTTCCAGCATTACGGCAACTATGTGCATGAACTGCGTCCTGCAGTACGATCCAGCATGTCAGCTGGCTTCTTGACTACATCCGACTTACTGCTTTTGGGCCAAGGAGCAGAGCAACCACTGTCTAGTGTCTTGTCTTTGCCCTAGTCTGTTCGTAGGGGAAGCTAACCATGTGCAGGAACGAGGGCCATCAGGATGCCATGAATACCGTAACGCCCCCTCTTCACTGCGATGGATGGAAATTTTCTCGGTGGTTCTACCTGGACTACCGTTTCTGAGATACTATGTGCAAGTTCTATCTCTGTGCTCAAACAAGTGGCCCTTGCTATTATTCCCTTCATTCTGAATTTTCATGGCTACTCAATCATCTCCTTGAGCCTAGTCATCTTCTTGAAACCTCATAAACCAGCCGATCTTGGGAGACTGTGGCTCAATACAACACAAACAAATCAAAATGACAAATCCCAAACCAAACACATATATCGCAGTCAAAATTGCGACCAGCCCGTCCTTCCGATTTATCAAGGGCATCGGGTCGCATAGCGCTTCGGCAACGGCAACGGAGATGAGACTAGCGGCAAGCCCGTAACTTATTTCTTCATACGGCGTTCACTATCGGAATGTCGTATTGCCCAGTCCGACGGCTTCCGGAATCACGTCATGATAAGTTACCAGTAAGTGCTTAACGAACGCTTCTCTCTTACTACAGCAATACTGATTTCATATTCAGACATCAGAAATAATCTGAGCGAAACGTACCGAGCTCGCGAAAAAACTACACCCTTCCTCCGTACCCACGCAAGCCTGGAAGAATCCGCAATTCGGTCATGCACTCACGACACTTGGTTTACACGCGGTAAGGGATCTCAAGACTTGCGGATTGTGTGTGAAGATGATGCCGGGAGTCGAGACACGATGGAGTTGGGCACCATCTTGTCTTGGTTTCCTCGGTATTTTCTTTCCATACGTCCAAAGGGCTTTTGATCCTTTGTCATGGGGGACCTAAAGTGTTGATGAGCTTGACGCAGTGTTGAGGAAATTCTACGACTGGGGACTCGGGACCCGGCACCCGGGATGCACACAAGCCACGACGTTAAATACCACCAAAGAATAACAACACCAAGACCCATTGCCAAAGAAGACGCTACCAGACTTTCGGGTCGCTACCGGAATAACTTCACATATCCAAACCAGGCGTGTCGTACTTTCTCACTTCGATAAGACCGCCCATCTTCGCCTGCTCTCCTCGTTATCTAGGTACTGTCTCTGTAACAGTTTTTGGATGAGCTACTTCTTATCTACCTGCTGGTGGTTTGCTCGACGGCTGGCCCGGTCGTCTTGAGCTTTTCCAGCGAGGTGGCAAGGAGTCTGTCCAACTCTGGTGCTCCGGTATCAACATACCTGTAGCAGTCTCCCTTGAAACGGCTACACACTCTGTCTCAGTCTCCCAGCTGCTCTCTTGTCTTCTACCAGCCAGTCGAGACATTGAAGAGCTGCCCACGTTGTGCCGTTTCGCGGCTTCTTTACAGCCTTGCGCCCACGTGTGGTCTATGCTCGACGGTTGGCCCGGTCGTCTCTGAGCATGATTCGTCTTCCAAGCTTGGGCGGATGTGGCGTTTGCTCGGCGACTGGCCCGGTCGTCTTTGAGCTTGATCACATTCCAACCTTGCGCGGATGCAATCTATGCTCGACTACCAGCACAGTCGTCTTCAGCTTGATCACATCATAACCTTGTGCGGATGTGGCGTTTGCTCGGCGACTGGCCCGGTTGTCTTTGAGCTTGGAGTGCCCTGAGCTTGGTTGAAAAGGGGTCCTAGCTGTTTGCTCCCGTTTGTGGGTAGCGGTACCAGTGGTGCCTGTGTTTTTGGATGCGCCAAGGGGCTGGATTGGGGGTACGGGAGAAGAGGGGTCATGAATTTGAAGACGGGGGTTCATCTTACGGGTTGCAGAAGTTATGACATAGAAGGCTCGAGACAGGAATTGATTGCTAGACATAGATCGCCAAGTCATGGCAGAGCGATACAGTGCGGATACCGACTTGACCCACGCTGCAAACATACCCTCCGTTTCCCTCCGTTTCCCGTTTTCGCCTTGCCACTTCTTTTTTCCTTGTGATCCTGCGACTGGAATCAGTGTGCCTAAAGTGTATGATTTACTTCAAGGGCGGCAGCTCAGCCACGATATTCCGGGTTCAATCGACGTTGTACGTGAAGGACGATCTGTAGGAAGCAATTGCGCTAAATTGGTTATACGAACGGTTGTGTGGCGGTTGGGGGAGCAAGGCGTGGTCGAGTGAATTTCATCTCTGCCACATTTTTGTCATTGTATATTGGCTCGGAACCATGCGAATACTGCGGGCGGTACGTCCCCATGTAATCGTGCAATGCCGTCGCCAGGTCGGTTGATATGTGGGCATCTCTCCTGTCAGTCGAACGCCAAGGGACATACTCCCATCCCATGATCTAAGCGCTCATTCTCCACCACTCCCCATGACAATGTTTACACTTGTTTCTCGCCTTCACGTCGACTAACTTTCGCATGAGACGCTGCCTGGTCTCGAATATTCTCTCAAGTCACAGTCACCAACGTCCCCGGCACCGGGCGTCGGCCATAATTCCCCCCCATCTTCGGGCAATCCGCTGAAATTTGGTCTTCTCCAAGCTGCCCGTGTGCATAAAGCAAGTTATCTTTGGCATGAGAAACTTGTGTTCCGCACCTCTCCCTCCCTGAATTCATTTGTATCATGGGCGTGCGAACTGATTCAAGTTTCGACGCGACATCAGACTTGGAATCGCATCTGTTCATCAATCCTAATCTCATTCACCAGTCATATGTCCCATAGCTGTTTATTCGAGATTCGCCGTTGCTTCATGATTTCTTTTGAGCACCGGTTAGATCTTTTAACCCCACACATTCGTGATGCTGTAAAAACTAAACCACCACGTCAGCTTGAGGGAGTTGTGCTCGACCACCATTCTTCCCTTGTGTCTAAACCATCATGAGTCACTACGCTCTCTCCCATGGAATTATCGTCTATTAGAACGGGAGTCTACAATTTGAGCCGTCGGTTGTACATTTAGGAGCTTCAGAAGGGAACAAGGTCAAGAGAATCTGACCAAGAGCTGGTGTCTAGTAGACATACGGCCAAGGAACAAAGTGTGTCAACACAACTCAAAGAGACTGATATCCCGAAGCAGTGTTCCATATCCTCAGCACATATTATCTCGATGTAAAGACACATGTGCGGATGTTGGCTTCGCAGGCTCTTTATGTCTTGTTAGAACATTGAGCAGTCGCCAGAATGGGAACAAATCGAAGGCGGTATGGGCCGTACAAACGAAACTCTCCCCTTCGTCCACGCTGATATAATCCCGATTCTTACTCCCTCCACATGCCTCCATGCAGCTCAATGAAGAGGTTCATCTCTACCAAAAGATTGCCCTAATTTCATTTACACCAACACTGCTCAGTGCTTGGTTGCAATCCATGAGCTAAGTTCTATCACCAATCAACTAGGACAGTCTCAACGGAATACAGAGACGGTTTGAAAGAATCACGAACCTGTGCACCAGAACAGTCGCTTCGACAAGTCTTCCTCCAGCCTTTCAACACGCTTGATTTCTTCCGCCGGATATCGCTGCGAAAAGCATTTAGCCTCTCGCTTTCGCACTGCATCTCTTCGACCTAGGACGACCGAACAGGCCGAAATCTATGTCCACCGCGGGCATCCGCTGTTTACAACGAACTTGCAGTCGATCAAAATTCTCTGACCATCCATCTACTACCTCCGTAACTTCTTTTTGACAAATGAAAAGTGCTTTGGCACCCCGTTCCAAGCATCGCAACAGCGAGCAACACCAACACACGTACTGCAGGAGCAGACTACAAGCGGGCAAGTTCCCACCGAACGTACACGCCTCTCGAGCCTCGATTTGAGATTATACACATGTGTTCGGTATTATGTATTGGACTGGCAGTCTGTTATGTCACTCTATTGCATCCAAACATACTGAAATGGAGGAATAAGGGGGCTTGGGCCCTTTGATCTCAGAAATTTGTCAGGCTTCCACTGCGAAAGTGCTGCCAAATCGGAAAAAAGGTGAGTCTGAGGGGTACGAGAAGGAAATCTCACAACAACTATTGAGCTATGCCTAGGTCAAAGGACAGCCCTGACGGGTATAGCAACAGGCTGATCTCATTGTGTGCCCATTTTCTCACCTCTCAGACAAGATCTGGCCTCTTTATCTACACATCAGCAGGGCAGACCTTGCGGTCGGGACGAGGTCAATAGTACTGTGTTGGTCTATTGCGCGTAGATGCGGGAGGAGGAGGAGTTGGGCGAAGCCCACGAGATCTCCAGAAGTGGTATGTAGCTGGGCAGCCCATAAGCGTGGGCCCCAGTTGCCTCCCAGATCCACCCTTTTCTGCCTGCTGCCCAGAGATATTCCAACATACTACCTTGGCCTTGATTAGATGTTTCAAATGGATCATGAACCCTTTTCCTTGCCTAGCAAAGAGCTCTCTAAACATTCTCGCACTAGCCAGGCTCA